CCTAGCTCGAGGCGCGGTCCCCTGCCCAGGGACACCGGGGTTGCTTGTTTGTAGTTCTGGGGATGGAACCAAGGTCTCCCACATTAGGCAAGCTCCTGCCGGGGACCTGCCCCAGCAAGGATCCAGGGGTCCTGAAGGATGAGTGCGTTAGCGCAGGAGACGGACAACAGCCTGCAAAAGGACCTGCGGCCCCTGCCCCGGGAGGAGCCTTTACTGTTATACCTTTTTGCAGGTGTTTTTTGAGGTGGTTAGTGGATAGTCTCAAAGCCTGAAGCTTCTTTGACTTACAGAATTTTCAAGAGTTACAATCTTTTCTGACATATATCGATCACCTAAGACATTGAGTACCTTGTTTAAAACACTTTCCTGTAGCCTTGGCCAGTCATGATCAACCTTTTCCATTTGACCTCAGTCACTAGGTGTAGACCACGCCACCCGACTGTCTCCTGACCTATTATTCACTTTTAACTTTAAAGCATACCTATGATTAAGCTTTCTTACTTCTAATCCAGACTCCCAGTAAACACACTTAAAATAGGGAAAGCCTACTACTCTGAAGTGCCTCTGAAATACATCTGTGTTAACTCCACATTATTCTATTTTCAGTCTCCAAGGTGATTCCCTTTCTTCATATGGCCTATTTAACTGCTTTCTTCAAGAGCTTCATGATCCTTGGTCAAAGCACACCAAGCCTCCGGACTTTTGATCTTTAACTAAAGGGCAGGCTCTGCACCTCAACCATTTGCCATTAGTATTAATCTGTGTTTTCCATTCTCATCATGAACTCCTGTGGGAGGCAAAGGAGGGTCTGTAGTGGGGGAATGTATTCTTATTAGCCTCTTGTCCTCGAGGGGGATACCATGATCCTCCTTTAAGAGACTAAGCTACCCACGGTGGTCCGTGTCCTGTTGGCCCAGCACTTGTTTTTCTGTGACTAGGCTGTTGCAGAGGTTGTGGCTTTAGAATGAGGGGCTGAGTGTAAACCGTTAACCGTGGGATAAACATTTTTTGTTGCTTAGGCTTTTCTCAGGAACCTTGATTTGCAATCTTTTCCACGTGAATTTTTGAGGAATAACACTACTGTTTGTATCCTGGGAGATATGGAAACACACCTCGGGGCATGTCTTAAATGTACCCTTAGTCTCATTCTGGGAATTTTCCCGCAGTCTGAGGCAACGCTTCCTTTAATTCTGATGGACATATGCCCTGTTATCCATAGCGTGAGTGGGTATCATACACAAAACCCTTAACATTCCCCGCGCTATGGGTTCCCAGAGGGCGGGGCCTGCTGCAGCACCCCCCAGGCTGTGACCCTGTCAGGCAGCGGGTGGAGGACCTCCTTCACCACACTTCACTGCTGAGCTGCACCCTGGTCCTTTCTATTTTGACACAGCCCCACCAAGCCGCCCAGGTATCCTGAGCCTGTGACCCTCCCACCTCAGCCCCATTACAGGTGTGGCCACTGTGCGCAGGACTAGTTATATTCTTAGTGCTGGCTGCAACTCCTAACTGGACTGCATGGTCAGCCAGTGGGTCTCCGCCCTCCCTCACAGGGGTCTTATGATGCCAATTCATTCATTTCCTAAATATGGACTGTACAGACATCAGAGAAAATCAAGTAGGGATTGCTGAGAACTCTCTCCCCCACAAAACCAATGAGAAAACTTGCAAGAAAAAAAAAAAAAAAAAGCCCCAATTGGCTTTTTAAGAATTCTGGAAATTAACCAGAAGGTTGCAGCGACCTGGGAGCATTTATTTAAGAAAAATGGTGGGTCCTTGTAAGGACAGTGACTTCTGCAGCATTTTGACTTGGCTAGCCCCCCTACGCCCCACCCCCCCTCCAATTCTGCAGCAGCCTTGAAAACAGCAGGGCGTGGGACTCCCTGGCTGGGTCCCTGGGAGGTCAGCCTCCTTTGTGAGGCTCCATTTCTTCCTCATCCCCCATCATCCCTGAAAAAGGAGGAGAATTGAGCACCATGTCCTGTAAGTCCCCCTCTCTTTTCACAAGAACCTGGCCCCACCAAGGCACTAAGGAGAGCACACCTGGGCCAGATGGCCACCTGGACCCTGGCGTTCTCCCTGCTGCTGGGAATCAGGGCAAGTCAGTGTGTCTGGGAAAGCTGCTCTCTCGGGTGCTTGCCAAGTTCCTCGGGTGCTGGTCACACCGTGGGACGAAGCCAGCTAAGCTGCTCTGCTTCTGTAACCCACTCTACCCCTCCCGGGGGACTGGTGCTGCCCAGAGCACCCTGGGGAGGGACATGCCCTGGGGAATGAGCTCTCTTCCCTGGAGAAGCCCCAGGGCACCTCTCCAGCCACCTCCATGGGACCTTCTGCAGCCCTCCTCAGGAAACCTGTCTCACCTGGCTCCAGGGTCTTCAGGGGCTCTGGGCCACCTGTCCCACGGCCCTGGCCCGCTGGGACTGCTGAGAATGAACCCTGATTTGGTTCATTCAAGACTCAAAAGCATTTCCCCTTCTGGGTCATTTGCTGAAAATGTTGAGAGGGCACCCGTTTACCCTCATGGCTGCCCGAGGGCAGAGAACAGGGTGAGGGCGGGGCTGCAGCTCTGCCATAGCGCCTGGGCTGTGCACGCGCGCTAGGACTGTGGGTGCCTGGGGAGGCAGGGATCTGAGGTAGCTGTTTAATGGTGACAGGGCTCTGTTTTGGGGTGATGAAAATGGCTTGGAGCTTGACCAGGGGACAGCTGGGCAAAATTATGAGCTGAAGTTCCCGGGATTGTTACTTGAAAGAGTTAATTTGTTTTGATGGGGGGCTGTACCGGGGATTGAGCTCAGGGGCACTGACCACTGAGCCCCATCCCAGCCCTATTTTGTATTTTATTTAGAGACAGGGTCTCACTGAGGTGCTTAGTGCCTTGCTTTTGCTGAGGCTGCTTTGAACTTTCGATCCTCCTGCCTCAGCCTCCCAAACTGATTACAGGTGTGCGCCACCTCATCCAGCTAAAAGGGTTGATTTTAGGCCACGCACAACGGTGAACCCTTGGGATCCCTGCTACTTCTTAGTAGCCTCTCTTGAGGCTGGAAAGCTCAGCAGTAGAGCCCTTGCCTGCCAGGCAGAGTGCCCTGGTTCAATCCCCAGCACCACAGAAAAGGGGAAGGCAATTTTATAAAAATGTGATTTCACCTCAATCAAAATTCTACAGCTACTGAATCAGACAGTGGTGTGTGCTTGTGGACTCTGCTACTCGGGAGGCTGAGGCAGGAGGACAGTTTGAGCCTAGGAATTTGAGCCCAGCTGGGGCCATAACAAGAGACCATCCATTAAAAGAGAAGCCAGGCGGCCTAGTGCGGTGGCTCATGCCTGTAATCCCAGTGGCTTGAGAGGCTGAGTGGGAGGATCTCAAGTTCAAAGCCAGCCTCGGCAATACAGCAAGATGCACCCCTGGTACCAAAAATAGTTATTATTATTTAAGAGATAATTATACACACCTGCACTCGAGCACACACACAAGGTGTTGGGACACCCGCCCCTGCACATGACCCTGACCCTCCCACTCCAGCAGCCAGACTCCATCTCAACCCCCTGCCCTCTCCACACTGGTCACCGACATTCAAGCAGGGCAGAGCACTGGACGTTTGAGCCGTGTCCCAGGTGTGCTGCTGTGTCCACTGTCCCTGGGTGTCCACCTTGTGTGTCTGGGCTTCTCTGTCCCTTCTCACAGGGACACCACTTGTGTGAGGTTCAGGGACTATCGTGGCCCACTATGATACACTCAGAATTAAACCAATTCATCTGCAAAGACCCCATTTCCAAGTAAGGCCAGTTCACAGCCCCGTGGATGAGGAGCCCCCCTCCCCTGCGGACGGGCTGGATTCAGCCCAGGACAGGCAGCAGCCTCGAGCCTTGGTGGGAGTGCTCTGGGAAGCCCCCGGGGCCCTGCGCAAGTGCACAGGACTGGGATAGCTTCATCTCCAGGCGGGGTGGGGGCAGGCGCTCAGCCAGGTGACTGGCTGAGTCTATAAAGGGCACAGCCACAGAAAACACATTTTATAACAAGGATTTTTTTTCCCCCAAAAAAATCATGCTTCAGTCAGAAATGGGTGTTCTCCTCATTCCCACCAGCCCTCTGGTTCCACTCTGGTGGCCTTCCTTTATTTATTATTAAAAATCTATTTTTTTGGTCCTGGGGCTGGTACCCCAGGGCACTGCACCACTTGGCTACATCCCCGGCTGGTTTCTGTTTTCTTTGAGACAGGGTCTGGCTGAGCTGCCCAGGCTGGCCTGGAACCTGTGGTCCTTTGGTGGTCCTCCACCTCAGCCTCCAGGCACCGGAACGACAGTGCACCACTGAGCCCCGCCTGGACTTTGTTTCCAAGGAGGATGGAGTCAGGGTGACTCCGTGGACGTGGAGCCCAGGACGTGGAGGGTGCAGGTGCGATTCCCGGGGAACAGAGAGGAAGGAGGTCAGGTCTCCAGCTCGGCCACACTGCACACCCGCCTCAACCTTCAGCTCAACCCAAGTTGCAGCCCTTGGGAGGATCCTCTAGGTGTGGAGGTCAAGGGTCAGAGCGAGTTCACACCACAGCGGATAAGCTGGGACCCCTGGCCTCAAGCACAGCCCTGGGCAGGCCCTCCCCCTCCACCCCAGAGGCTGACTTTCTTGCAGCCCAAGGTGTGAATGAAGATGTGCAGAAGAACCTGCTCGGAGCAGCACCTGGATCCTGGTTGGGAACACTCCACCACTGCGCTGTCCCTGGCCTCAGCCATGATGTCCCCCCACTCTGGGGGTGGCTGCTCCAAACTGAGATGCTCTGGGCTTATAAAATTCACACTGGGTCTGCCATCCAGTGACTCAGGAGGCTCAAGCAGGAGGATCCAAGGCCAAGGCCAGCCTCAGCAACTTAGCCAGACCCTGTCTCAAAATTTCAAAAAAATCAATACAAAGGGCTGGGTGTGGTCGGTGGCTCAACACCCTGGATTCAATCCCCAGTACCACCAAAAAAATCCCACCCTCAAAATAAAACAAAAACAAACAAGGATTTTAAGCAAAACATTTCAGTCCAAAATCCAGGTACAGCACTCCTCGCCCACCAGGTGCAAAACCCTGTTCCTTCTCTGTCACTTGGTCTGTCATTCTGGAGGGCTTTTGCCAAGCCACTCTTCCAAAAGGTGCATTCCCCAAGGACAGGCAGGAGGGTTCTCCAGTTGTCCCAGAGAACACTGGAGTCCCACCTGGGGATTAAGAACATTTATTCTGACACTATTCATCATCACAGTAAGTAATTCACAGCAAATGACATGAGAATGTGGGTCACAGAGCACCATGAAGGGAGCACGGGGAGCCGGGAGCCCGCCCCGGTGCTGACCGATGTGTGTGTTCTAGGGAGCAGGAAGTTCTGGGTGATCACCAGAGTGGACCTGGGGGGGCGGTTCCTGCATTTTTTACAATAGGCATTTATGATTTTACAAAACACCAAAGCTATCACTTCAATTTAAAGAACAGAATCATTTCAAACAGACTTGAAGTCCTTGCACTCCTCGGTGTCCTCGGGGCCACAGACGGATGCAGCATCAAGATCTGCCGCCCAGACACGGCCTCCCACTCCTCCCGGGAGCTCCTGCGGGAACCCGGGCAGGTGCTGGGACAGCACTCCTCGCCCACCAGGCGCAAAACCCTGTTCCTTCGCTGTCACTCTGGAGGGCTCTTGCCAAGCCACTCTCCTACAAAGGTCCGTGCCCCGGGACAGGCAGGTTTCTCCAGTTGTCCCAAAGAACACGGGAGTCCCATTTGGGGCCCACGGGCTGCCTCTTCCTCTGGGGTCACCTCAGCCCTTCTCATCCCCATCAGGCCAGCGTGACTATCAGACGGCATCCGGTATCCAATCTCAGTGACAGGGACCTGCTGGGGCGACCTCCCACACCTGATGGCCCCCGGGCTGGTCACGCCTTCAGCAGGGCGACCTTGTGCTCGGGGACAGGGTCTCCACAGCTGTTGTAGGGCTGGGTCCCTGGGTCCTGCTGCAGGTGATTCTCTGCAAAAGACACAAGACATTCAGGCTCTCAAAGAGCAGAGCTGAGGTGGCTCAGTCGTGCAATGGCATTAAAGGTGCCCCAGGAGGGGTCTGCCCAGGGGGCCGGCATCCCCGGCCCGAGGCTCCGAGCAGGCCACCCTCCTGCGTGGGCCATCTCCCTGCTGGGAGACACTGGCTTCCCGTAGCTGTGCCAGCCTCCCTCACCTGCTGGGCCTCAGCGTTTGAGCTGCTTCTAGTAACAGCCCAGAGGACTCGCAGGATGTGAGAACTCAGGAAGCCAGGCACAAAAACACTGGGGCTGGAACCCAGGGCGCTGAGCACGCTGGATGAAGCTCCACCCTGAGCCACGTCCCAGCCCTTTTTCACATTTACAGGATCTAAGTTGCTGCGGCTGGCCTTGACCCTGCAGTCCTCCTGTCCCAGCCTCCTGAGTTGCTGATTATAGGTGTGGGCCACCAGGCCAGCTAGGAAAGTGGTCCTCTCTATGGGTAAGGGCATGAGGACAGGAGGAAACTTTCTAGAATGACTGAAATGTCATTTTTTGATTGGTGGATGCACAGGGGGAAGTTTAAGCTATTTCTTGGTTTTCAAACACGCACACACACACACACACATCCCTACAGAGGAGGAGGGCCCAGGGTTCCACCTATGCCCCTCGGGCTCTCCCCTTTCCCAGTTTCTGGCTCCCTGGGTCCTGTCCTGCCCTGTCTTGATGCCTAAGGGTATGGACATGCTGGACTCTCAGCCCCCTGGAGAATGTCCCCTGCACCCACCTGCCTCCTCCCGAGTGGAGAAGTACTGGAATCCCTTCAGGTCAGCGGCCAGCAGAGTGCGGAGCACTGGCACCTGTGGACAGACACACTCCAGTCCAGGGCACAGCGCTCCCAACCGACATGCAGGGTGGGCAGCCTGGCTGGACAAGCCTGAAGTGTTTTGGGGTTGGGGGTAAGGCAGCCTGCCCAGGGGCTGCTGCCAGGGGAGGGGTCTCTACACGAACGGTCTCCAGAGACCACCAGGAGGAGTGCTCTGCAAACTTGACGGCCAGGCGCGGCTCTGGAGCCAGACGTCCCCGGCAGAGTGCAGCCCGGCTGCAGAGGCAGACCAGGTAGCAAGGGAGTGGCCCCTGAGGACAGGCGGGAGGGGACGGTCAGGCAGAGGACGACCAGGTCAGAGGCGGGTCAGACCACGCCTACCTGCAGGCCCACGAACACCAGGGCGGCCCCCTGCCTGCGGAAGTCCTCCAGGAGGTCGCCGAGGCCCAGCACCACGGTGTAGTCGATGCTGCAGACGTGGGTGCACTCCAGGATCGCGCAGCGCCGTGGGGACCCTGGGGGCAGGCCACTCGGTCACGCCCAGTGAGGACATCAGGGAGGCAGGACCCACATGCCCCTGGCAGGCACTGTGCTTCTGGCTAAAGCGGAGAGCAGGTGGTCTGGGGCCGGGGGCCCACGGGGGAAAGTGGGAGCAGGCGAGTGTCACCCCGATGGCTGGGCTGGGTCTCGGGTCCTGACAGCCAGGGCCAGGTAAGAGAGGGTGGCAGGAGCTCCCAGTGACCTCGGCCCAGCCACGTACCTTCCAAGGCCTGGTTCAGTATCGCCTCCCGAAGGGCCTCGATGGCAGGGAAGTGCAGGCCGCTGGCCGGCTGCAGGACAAGAACCGGCCCCTCTGACACCTGGGAGGGGAGAGGGAAGAGAGTCCAGAAGGCAGGTTGGACACAGCCTCTGCCTGGCCTCGCGGGTCCCCAGCAGCAAGCCCCAGGGGAGCACAGCGGAGGGAGGACAGCAGGAGGCGCTGGCAGGAGGCCAGGACTGTGGAGGCTGCCCGGGCCCAGCGGTGACTGCAGCTGAGGGGGGCACTCAAGACACGGGGACAGCTAGGCAAAGACGCCCACCCTCGTGTGCCCACCCCGCCCCTGCCCGCACCTGGGTCTTGGGCCTGGCCACGGCGTGCAGGAGGATAAGCAAGGACACCAGGGTCCCGGCCAGGATGCCATACTGGACCTCCCAGAAGCACAGCAGGAACGTGATGCTGAGCGGCAGCAGGTCCAGCCCTGGGAGAGGAGTCCACTGAGGGGTGCCCGCCCCCGGGCCCTCCCTACCCAAGCCAATGCAGCCAGCAGGCAGCCCCTGGTCCTCAGGCTGCAGCCAGGGTGGTCACGGAACCAAAGCAGCCCCAGGGCCCTCAGGGCAGCAGCCACGGACCTCAGCTAGTACCCGGGCCTCGGTCAGAGGAAGACAACCTCCCTGTGGCTGAGGTGCGGGCAGGACCAGCCTGGGCCTTCCCGCAAGGGACCTCGGAGGGAGGGGAGCAGGGGGCTCATCAAGGGGCCATCAAGGAACCCAGGAGAGGCGGGGTACAGGGACCACAAGCCCCAGACTTGCAGATCTCCTTCCCGAGGAGGCATCCCGAGGGCAAAGTGCAGCCCCAGAGTCCCCCCAACACATGTGACTCGGACACGTTCCACCCCCTGAGCCTCGGTTTCCCTTAGGGAGCTCTTAAATTGCACGCAGGTGTGTCAGCGTGTGCCAAGGTACCCTAAGATGAAATGTGACGTGACGGGAAGCCCTGGGACACAAGAAAACCACCACTCCTTTCCCTGGGTGACTCACTGGGGTCCTGGGAAGGACACACACAAACTGCCTAAGTTCTCACTTCTTAGGCAAGATAACAGAGTGGACTAGTGGGGGTGAGTGGCCGAGGTGGCCCTGGGGTTCGAGACACAGAGCTGTGGTGCTCTCTGCTTTTGGACCAGCACATGATGTTTCTTGTTATTTTTGCAGCGCTGGGGACTGCACCCAGGGCCTCCGCAGCTGGGCAGGTTCTCCCGCTGACCGCACCCCCGCCCTTTCCATCTTGACAGAGGATCTTGCTCAATTTGCCCAGCTGTTCTCCAGCTTGCCCTCCTCCTGCCTGAGCCTCCCGAGTGGCTGGGATGACAGGTGTGGCCCCCGATGCTGGCCCACATACATACTCTTAACGCGCCAGAGTGTCCCGAAGATCTTGGTGTCGAACAGTGGGGCCACCGCCATGATGATGACGGCAGCCAGCGCGGCCTTGGGGATGTAGTAGAAGAGGGAGGTCAGGTAGTCCAGGGACAGCAGCACCAGCGCACCTGGAGGGGGCAGCACTCAGGGGCCAGGTCCAGCCCCCCGAGGGTGGGGAGCGAGTACTGACCGCCTGCACCACGGGCCCCAGGGGCTACTGTCACGTGATGCTGACTCAGTGGCCAGCCAAGCAGGGACCCCTTCAACTGTGGACTGCCACCCTCCTCCCCATGCCCTCAGGCAGGGACACAGGGAAACACAGGGGCTCACCAGTCACCAGGCCCCCTGCAGGGGTGCACACCCCAGACTGGGCGTTCACAGCTGTCCTGTAAGTCAACAGAGACCCATCAGTAAGGAAGGGCGGGCGGCTGATCTTCCCAGGGACCTGGGCTGGGCAGGCGGCCCAACGAGTGCGGTACTCAAACCCGCGGCTTCCCCTATCCAGAACAGTGAGAAAGCCCTCTGCTTTGACTCCCACCCCACCCAGGCTCTGCTGGGCTTCCCACACTTGGCCGCTACTCAAGGACAGCCTGCAGCCTGCGGGGGGTCTGGGCGTGGCCCCAAGGCCAATTCCACAGGGCAGAGCCTCAGTCCTCCACCTCCACTGTCGGGACTGGGCACCTGCACGTGCTGGGAACTTCCAGTGATAAGCACAGAGCGGGGAGCCCAGATGCCACCCTGAAGGGCAGGCATGAGCCCCACCCCACCACGCTGCAGACGTGGTCACAGCTGAGTGGGAAGTCATGAAGCCAGGCGGGCTGTGACAGGAGAAAGGAGTCCCAGGCGGCAAAGTGCCCAGCTAGGGGAGAGGGGTCCTAGGGCTGGGTCCTCCCTCAAGGAGCAGAGAGGGAAAGACACGGTCACTGACCTCCCAAAGCTGCCAGTGACTGGGTAGGAGGAGACGAGGGAGCCCAGCACGTTGGTGAGGCCTGGGGAGAAAAAGAAGCTCGTGAGAGGGGACATGGAGGACAAGAGCAAGGCCAGGGGACGTGGGAGTGAGCGGGGCCTGCGCCTGACCTCCTGCCTTGAGGGCAAAACGCCAGCCACAGTCTCCCTCCAGTGGGCCCAGGGTGACGCCAGCCTTTCACAGGGAGAGGAACTAGGGAGGGAACCCAGGGCCGCGTGCGGGCCAGGCGAGCACCCTGCCCCGGAGCCAGCCCCTGCCCCAGGTCTAGCCTTATCCAGCCACTCTGGCCCTGCTCCACTGCGATGGGACTCCATCACCTCTGGAAGGGGTGTGGCCACGGGAGGCAGTGTGTGGAGGACACAGCGGCCACCACCCTCAGAGCTCTACTAGGGTCCTCTCAACCCCTCCGCTGCCCTGCTGCTCTGGCCCACCAAAGTGAGGGACATGCTGTCTCCCCCAGGTGGCTCGGACTGACCACATGGGAGAGCCCAGGCCCACAGCCTCACTGGTATCAGCCCATGCCAACCCCAAGCTGCCCACAAGCATCCCCCCACACCCCGTCCACAACCACCACAGTCTCCCCCACTCTGCAAAGCCCATGATGGCGGGGGGGCAGGTTCGAGGCCTGCCCTCAGGTGGCTTAGGCCTGGCTGCTCAGCACCAGGGCCTCCAGGTCACACGGCCCAGGGCATGTCCCGAGAGCGAGGGGCCCAGATGTCAGTGGCCGTGGCAGAGGCCATGCCCTGCCCGCAGTCTGCACAGGACCGCCCTCACTCCTGGGGGTTTCCGGTCCAGAATAGAACTCTGCTGCCCCTGGCGGGACAGTCCCCCCAGCCCGGGCTTCCTGTGGGACCCAGGTCAGCCTCTCCCTGTGCACCAGATGAGAAACTGCGGCCCATTTCAGATTAGGAGGCGTACATCCCCTCAGCAGCCTGGCCTCCCATGGCCAGCGCTGTCTGGGCTGCAGCGGGGAATTCTGGTCCCATGGAAGGCTCCAGGCCACCAGTTCTTTGCTGCTGCTGCTGCTGCTGCAGGGGGCTGGACGTGCTGTTGGAGTGATGGGTGTGGGCAGCTCTGAGAAGCCTGTGGGGAGGTCTAGTGCTGGGGGATCCGTGGGTTTCCTCTGCTCACGTGCAATTCCTGGGAAACTGAAAGTCCACCAGCCACCGGGGCACTACCCCATCAGTGGAGCTTGGACAGCATCCCAACGTCCCCTTGAGACCCTCAGAAGAGCCCAGACCTGGCCAGGTCACCCCTGGAAGGACCATGGGCTGCCCAGGCCGGACTGGTGCACATCTCCCAGGGTAAGGGATGGTAGCAGGCCGGGCCCACAACACATTAAAAGAGCCCAGATAAGCCGGGCGCAGTGGCACGCACTTGTGATCCCAGCAGCTTGGGAGACTGAGGCAGGAGGATGGTGAGTTCAAAGCCAGCCTCAGCAACAGCGAGGCACTAAGCAACTGGGTGAGACCCTGTCTCTAATAAAATACAACATAGGGCTGGGGACGTGGCTCAGTGGTCGAGTGCCCCTGAGTTCAATCCCTGGTACCCTCCCCACCAAAACCCAGCATAGATTAACTAAATTTAAGATTCATGCCTACGGTCTCAAATGTACCCCTGGAGAAGTCAGTTCACACAAAGAAAGCACAGGAAAAGGCAGCTGTAACCTGGACTTGGAGGGCCTGCCTCCCACTGACCCACCTGGCCTGCCTGTGGGGGGGCACTCGGGAGCAGCTGTCTGGCCACACCCTTCCCCAGCCCTGGCCTGGGGTGCCCCTGAGTGGGCATTGCAGGAGCTCCTCAGGTGTGGTACACAGCAGGCACTGAAGGGGGGGAATCGAGCATGTGTCCACCCTATTCCCGGGGATTAGACAGAGCCTCTAGATACCTGAGAATAGACCCAAGTTAGTATTTCAGAAGGCCCCACTAGCTCATCACGCGCACTGCCACCTCGAACCACTCAGCAACATGAGATGACAGGCACTGGGCTGCGGGGCACTCACCGATGGCCAGTAGCTCCTGGTTGGCATCGATGCGGTAATTATTTTGAGAAGCTAAAGAAAACAAACACAAACACTGTCACCAGATACCAAAACTGCAAGGAAAACTCTCATGCGGTGACCACAGGCACTGCACCTCCGCGTACGACACCCAGCCTTGTAAACGCGCGTGTGTAAACCCACACGAAAGACTCAACCTGCGCACATGGAATGGAGAGATCCAACCCCACTGTGTTCCAAAGTCCAGAACTTTTCAAGGGCTCAAACAATATCCTAAAGCTTTCGTACAGGGCATCGTGGCCTTTGGATTTTTGAATGGAGGATATTCAACCAGTGAAGCCTACGTAAACATTCCAAAATCTGAAAATCTCGGAAATCTGAAACATGGCTGGTGCCAGGCATTGTGCGTGTGGGTCCTGCACACAGTGTGCACGCAGGTGCTGTGTGAGACACAACAGTGTCATCTTTTTTTTTTTTTTTTTTTGTACTGGGGATTGAACTCAGGGGCACTCGACCACTGAGCCACACCCAGCCCTATTCTGTATTTTATTTAAAGACAGGGACTCGCTGAGTTGCTTAGCACCTCACTTTTGCTGAGGCTGACTTTGAACTCAGGATCCTCCTGCCTCAGCCTCCTGAGCTGCTGGGATTACAGGTGTGCGCCACCGCGTCTAGCAGAACAGCATAATCTTAACAGTCAACCAGCCTAGGAGGGACAACAGGTATCTGTCTCTCCTTTCTTTTTTACAACAAACTCACGTTGCTTCTGTAAGACCCGAATATATTAAGCCAAAACGTCTGATTTCAAGTCAGATGGCTAGAAAGCTCAAGGCTCGGAATCTGAGGAAGAGGCGGGAAAGAGTCTGCGAGAAGTCACAGGGCAATGATCTCAGGACAAACTGCTGGGAGAGGGCCAGCGCGTCCACTTTCCACGCTCTGCAGGTGTGAGTCTCCCCACCTGCTCTGCTGTGGGGCAGGCAAAGGAGCAGAGGAGCAGGGCTGAGATCCAGGGCGTGCCCTGAGCACGCTGAAATCAAGCTCCTGGGTCTTCCATGAAGCACAAAATATTATTATTATGTTCTGCTTTTCCGACCATTTACGCACATAAAAATCATTTTGAGGTGAGTCACCAGAGGTGGGGGTGCAGGGACCACGGCCCAACTGCAGAGCACACAGCCTTGCAGGTTAGGCAGGTGGTTCGGGGGCTTCGAAGAAAGGGGATGAGGCCCAAGTGACAGATGAGAAGGGGAAAACCCCAAATGCAGATCCAGGAAGGACGCTCTGTACTGCTGCTCGTGACAGAAGAGAAAGACACTCAGAGAAATAGAACCGAGCAAAGAAGTCAGGAGCTGTGGGTGGAAGGCACTGGTGTGGTTCTGAACAGCCGCGGAGGTTTGGGAGACCCTTCTGAATGGACGAGTGTCTTCTGAATGGAGAGAGCGCAGCACTGGGGGAAGAATGGACCCCGGCACACCAGGCTGGGCAGGCAACAGCCCCGAAGGGTCAATCACGCTGGTGTGTGTGTGTGTGTGTATGTGTTTTAGTGCAGTTGCTCATGCTGGGCCAGGCTCTGCCAACTGGGCTCCAACCTTCAGAATCAGCCTAGGCCCCGACACAGGGGCCGTGACGGGAACAAGGGCACCATCCGCATGAATGATTCGGAGCTGGAAGCCACTGTGTGGCGGGACCAGCCAAGGACCCAACAGCCTCAACGTGCAGGAGGGAAGCAGAGGTGCTGGAGCAGAAGCAGGTGCTGAGGCAGGGAGGGGCCGGCCAGCCGTGGGAGCCAGCAGGAGGCAGAGTGCTGTCAATCCTGCAGGCTTCTCTGGGCCAGTAAACCAGAGCTGTCCACCACACGACAGGCGAAGGGAAACGTGACCCTCGAACTCTCTGCTTCTCAGTCTGACACGACCTCCCCTTCCCACCGAGGCTCCTTACGTCTACCTGGGAGAGGAAGAGGGCGGCTAGCGCATATCTCTGCCCAACTCCGTGCCCAGGCTGCTCACTCAGTGATGTCCCCGGGGGCAGCCAAGGTGGGAGCATTTACCCTGGAAGTTGGCACTGGCCGCACAGCAGCACCTTTCACGTCCACACTGAGCAGGCTGCTGGCATGTGCACCAGCACCTGGTTGGGCTGCTCAGCACCGCAGGTGAGCGTCCCTTACCCAGAACCCGGGGAACCAGGAGCGTGTCAGGTCTTGGAACAGAGGCACAGACTTCCCGATGGGGCAGCCCCCAGGCCTCGCCAGCTGAGCTGACCCACGGTGAGTCGGCACACGCCGCGGTTCACACTTCTGAGCGTTTCAGATCTTGGATTTTCCGTGCGCGTACACGCGCGCGCGTGCACACACACACACACACACACTTTAACACATGACCACGGGTTACTTAGGTAAAAATTCTAATCTTAAAAGTTAGAGCAGATAAAAGCCAGCAAAAAGGCGGCAGGTCAAGAAGGCGGCAGGTGAGCCTTCGGGGCCAGGGGAGCATCTTACCGAAGGCTTTGGCCACAGCGATACTCTCCAGGAGGCCCACCAGGGGCACCACGGCCAGCCCCGTGCCCATGTCCTGAGAGAGAGAAGGGGACAGTGAGCGCCCAGGAGTGTTCTCCCTGACTTCAGGAGGGAGGGGTGGGTCTGGCCAGGGAGGGACCTGCCACACAGGAGCAGTTCTTCCAATGGCGGCAAGGGCACCTGTGTACCCACCGCAGGACCTGAGCCCACCCAGGTGAGGAGATGTCCCCTCCTGATGGAAGGAGCAAGCCACCGAGGGCCGCCAGGCAAATGCAGCCCCGCCAGCGTCCAGGGCGGGAGAAACACCAGGCTCCAGGCAGGAAGACCTGGCGGCCCAGGGGCTGGTCCAACCTGGGACTCTCCAGTTCCCCAGAGCGAGGCCCACCAGGCTGCCCACCCCCCTCTGCTCACCTGCACCATCTCGGCGAAGGAGGTGGTCCCGTTGGCTGTGGTCAATGAGAAGGGAGGGGTCCGCACTGGGGGGAGCCCCTCGGCCGTCTCCCCAGTTAGAATGAAAGGCTGGTATCCGGTCACCTCAAAGGAGTACGCCACCAGGGCCGCAAAGGAGACCACCAGGGCGTTGCGAGCTGGGATGGGGAGACGCGAGACCCGGTCACGGCGGGCACGGGGAAGTCACTGGCCTCCACCCAGTCGCACCCAGTCGCTGCAGCGTGGGAAACGTGGCCCAGATACACACGGCCACGAGTAAGCAAGTCCACGTGGGAGCACACGGGGCAGTGGGACGGTGACAAAGAGAGTATCTTAAAATCAGTGGAGAAAAAGGTCACACACAGAAGGGCAAAGCTAGGACAAGAGCATACTGGGTCTAACAGTGCCGGCCAAGGACAGCAGGTGGCATCTGTACGGTGCTGCACACAATCAATCTACATGATCCTTTCACTTTTTTATGCAGAGCTGGGTTTTGAACCCAGAGCTTTCGGCAAGTGTTCTACCACTGGGCCATACCCTCAGTCCTAAAAACCTAGACTTCTACATCCAGCTAAACAATCTTTGAAAAACAGAGACAAAATATATTTTTTTTCCCTCAGGCATACAAAAGCACAAAGAGCTGGGTACAGCGGAGCAAACCTGTAATCCCAGTGACTCAGGAGGCTGAGACAGGAGGATCACAAGGTTGAGGCTAGCCTCAGCAACTTGGTGAGACCCTGTCTCAAAACAAAAAATAAAAAGAGCTAAGGATGTGGCTCAGTGGTTAAGCACCCCTGGATTCAATCCCTGGTACCAAAAAGGAAAAAAAAAAAAAGGAGAAAGAAAACCAGCAAACATACAGTGACCTAAAATTATCAACTCAACTGACATTGACAGAACACTAGTAACACCTGAATACATATTTTCAACTGCACCAAGAACAATCACTAAGACAATGTTCTGGGCCATACACTAATCTCAATAAATGTAAATAGAACTACTCATACCAAGTGTGTTTTCTGATCACAACCAAATTAAATTAGAAATAAACAGCAAAACTCCAAGTGGAAAATCTCCAACCATTTGAAAACTAAATTCCCACAGTTCAAATGAGAAACCAAATAATCCATTTTTAATTAGTCAAAGGAGTAGTCAAAATGGAAATTAGAAAGTACTTAGAACTGAACAGAAATGAAAATGGAACATATCACAATTGTGGAATGCAGCTAAAGCAGTGCTGAGAGGGCGATTTATAGCAATCCAGCATCCACACGGGAAAAACACAGATGTCGAATCAGAGACCTCAGCTTTGACCTTAGGAATGTGGGGAAAAAAGATTAACTCAAAGTAAGTAGAAAAAAAGGAAACAGTAAAGATCAGGACAGGAATCAAGGAGGTCTAAACAAGAGCATAATCAATGAACTGGTTCTGCGGAAAGATGGATTAAAAACAGCAGGCCCTAGACACACCAGTCCGCAACAACGCGGAACGCAGGGACGGGGCCAGTCCTCCTTCCGCCTCCTCCAGTGTGGGTCCAAGGGTTGTTTAGCTCTTACCTCCCAGAGCCTCAATTTCCTCGTGGGAAAAATCCTCAAGAATCACAAGCAGAAATGTACACTTTTATTAGTTTAAAGCTAACAATTCTACATGCTCTGGGGAGAAAGCAGCCTGTAGAGTGTGGTTTGTTTGTTTGTTTGTTTTTGGTACCAAGAATTCAGCCCAGGGGTGCTGAACCACTGAGCCACATCCACAGCCCTTTTTATTTTTTATTTTGAGACAGGGTCTCACTAAGTTGCTGAGGCTGGCTTTGAACTTGCAATCCTCCTGCCTCAGCCTCGGAGCCACAGAGATTATAGGGATGTGCCACCATGCCCCGCAGCATGACGTTTTGACATTTTGAAAAACCCTTCTACGTGGGGGGAGACGGCAGCCCCCAGGGCTACACAATTCTTAATAACGAAGGGCGAAAGCCAGAGGCGTCTGTGACATGCAGACTTGGCCAGTGCCCACAGCAGGCAACATCCTCCGCCTCAGTCATCCCCAGGCCAGCCGCTGGGCAACTGGGGACCACCCTAAGCCGAGGCTGGCTGAAACCTCTCAGCTGGCTGCTCCACCGCTGGCCCTGCCCAGCCTCACCTTCATCCCGCAAGCCACCATAAAGGCCTGCCCTCCCCTCCCTTCTTCCTCCTGGTTTGGTTGAGTGGCCTGCTGCGCCCCCTGCTTCAGGACCTGTGACCCTAACCAAGTCTGGGTTTCCTTGAGCCTCTCCTGCCTCCTCCCCTGGCCCCACCTGACCAAGCCTCTCACAAGAGAATACAAAACAAGTCCCTGAGAAACTCAGGGCAGCACTCCCCACACTCGGTATGCCTGGGAATCTCTGGGGATCCCCAGAAGATGCAGAGGTTAATTCTGCCCCCTGGGGTGGGGCCTGAGGGTGCCAGGCTGCTGGTCGGGGCCACACTGCAGCATCCAGTGTCAGACAACAGCATTTCCACGGGGGCTACTGTCGCAGATTCACAGACGACTGAACTGCAGCTCAGAGACTGGTGACAGTCCCCGCAAGATCAAACACAGGGCTACAGTGGGACGGGAAGCCAGATGTTTCCACCCTTAACCCAGAGGTCTTGCCCCCACCAAGCCCTCGCCTTTGCCCACAGCCTCAGGTCTGCGGAGAGGACCTGGTAAGTGACCACAGCAAATGGGAACCAGCCTGAACAGCGGGAGGTGACCCAAGGGCAACCTCCCCCTCCCCCTCCCCCTCCCTCTCCCTCTTGTGGCCGTTGGATTTCTCAGTACCCCAAAGCAACCCCCAGCTCTGGCCATTCAGAGACAGAAACGCTTCCCAGTCTTCCTGTGTGGGCCCCCCTCCCTGGGCGCCACTGACCAGTACTCGGCCACAGGACCTCTATGCCCATCCTGGCAACCAGAGCACAGAATGCACCAGGAGAGGGTTCCTCCTGCGTAGAAATGGCCTTTCAGCAGCCAATGGCCGTCCCTCCACCCCCACCCCGTCACTTGGGCTTCCCCAATAGGCCTTTCATTGACTGTGACTCGCCTGCACACTCCATGCCTGGAGCCCCTTTCACTCCTGGCCAGCGCAGCTGGAACAGCCACCAGACTCGGTGGGATCTGTCCCCCAGGGACCCTGCAGACCAGGTGTGAAATCCCAGCAGTGCTGGTGCTTCTGCTGCAGGTGGCTGTGTACCTGTCACTCAGGGATCCCTGGCCTCTGCCCGCTGGATGCTAGCCACAACCTCCCCAGTACTGCCAACCAGAGAGGTCCCCAGACATTGCTAAGTGTCCCCTGGGGGCCAAATCGCCTCTGGCTGTAACTCAGGACCACCCGGGGCTTTCTAACACCCAATGCTCACAGCAAGTCCAGACCATACACTCTCCAGAGGGTGGGTGCAGGGCTCCCTGGGTGGCCCCAGCATGCGGCCCAGGGTGCACCCAACCTCGGTGGAAGCCGCTCCTCACAGAAGGGCCCTACCTGTGGTGGCAGTCCACACCAGCCCGTGGCTGAGCCGCACGCCAGGCGGCATCTCAGGATGCACGGGAGGCACGTGATCCCGCATCAGCTTCAACACCAGCAGCAGCACCATGCAGACCAGCCCCAGGACGGCATCACCCACCCTGCAGACAGAGGACCGGTCACCACCCAACCCAGCAGCCCCGGGTCCCACTGTCTTCCTGGCTTTCCCTGGAAGGCTCTCTCTCTCAATTGCTCTTCCTGTGTTCTCCCAACCGCTCTGCATCCCCCTTCTACTTCAGAACGCCATTCAGATCTCAGTGAGCACACAGCCCTGCGCAGGACGGGGTCAAGGGCCTGTCATGGTGATAGCAGGGCTACCAGCCTGGTGCTCAGTCACCTGGCTCCCTGGACTGCAGCTGCTCAGTGAGCAGGGGGATTGGGACTATGCAGTCAGTGAGGCCCCTTCCAGTCTGAGACTGACGTGCTGGGACTATCAGTCTTCGCCTCCACTGCCCGCTGGGGGCTGACCCCTCCTGGCCAGGCGGGAAGCCAGTCAGCAGCAGAGGGGGAGGAAGCCATCCAGATCTCCCCCATTCCCTCCACTGCTCCCCCAAATCATTTCCTCCTCTGATCCCCCTGGCAGGAGAGCTGGAGAGGATTCCTGGTCTCCAGCTGGGACCTGCAAGTCTACCTCTGCGTGTCCTACTGGCTCCCAGCTCGGGTTTGAGGACCTCTGAGAACCTCTGAGAGGGGCAAGGCCAGAAGGCTGACAAGTGCCACCTGGGGTGAAGAAGGGACTGGGAGGGGCTGGAAGGATGAGCTTTCTCAACTGGGGAAGAGATAAAAGCCAACAGGGCGGGGGAGGGCTGGGACACAGCTCAGCTGGCAGAGTGCTTGCCTTGCATGCAAGGGCCCTGGGTCCATCCCCAGCACCGCACACACAGAGAAGAGCCAACAGGGTACCTGGTCTCTCCGATATTCAGGAAGGTGTGATACACCTGCAGGAAAAACTGCCTGGGGATGTTCTGCAGTCCCAGCAGATTCTGCAAACAGAGATCCCGTCCAGTCAGAGGCCCTGCCCAGGGCCCCTCCCACGCACCCCACTCCCCGCCCCCGGTTCCAAGCGGCCTGCGCCGGGACCCCAGGCCCCTTCCAGGAGCTCCGGGGGGACCACCTGCCCGGTCCCGTGGCAGGAGGTGATGGTTACTTCCGGGGAAGGGACCTCACAATGTTTAGGTCAGTGGCACCTTTCTAGGTCACCCCAAAGTGGTCTACTGTGGCACCGGCAGACGTCCCGGGACAAGGCCCGGAGCCCTCCCACCCCGCTGCCATTGGCCTGAGGCCCCATCCCTCAGCCACAGGCCCGCCCCGCCCCGCGGCCATTGGCCCGAGGCCACGTCGGCCACTCCCAACACCAGCCCTGCCGGAAGGAAAAATCACACCGCGCAGAGCACAGGATGGAGCTGCCGCGGGGCGGGGGCGCTGGGGGTCCGGCCAACGGCCTCCCCCCGACCGCAGCCCTGGGGTCCTGGGGAGAAGGGGCTCCCCTCCCTGCTCTAGCTTGGGGCCTGCTGGAGAGAAAGTCCAGGCTCAGACTGCGGGGGGGGGGGGGGGGGGACGACACCCTCCCTGATGCCCCAAACCTGCCGGCAAACACAGAGGTGGGGAAACACAGCCCACACTGATGGATTCTGGGGGCGACTGTCCTGTGCAGGTCAGGTGGCTGCATGTCACCACCTAATCAAGGTTTTAGAAACTTCGTGGGGGCGGGGTAGGGTTGCTACTAGGAAGGCAGGGAGAAGACACCCTCCACTCCAGCCCACAGAAGCATTCCCCAATTCCCAGCACCAAACCAAACCAAGCAGTTACACTTAAAAAAAAAGTTTCCCAAATAAAGGCAGACCCTCCCCAACCACCTGTGCTCAGATAGCTGGATGTATGTGCATGTGACATACATGCTAAGTTGTTCCCTCCACCCTAACGCCAGCATGACAGCCTGCCTCCTAAGGAGAGGCAGGAGACCGTTAAAGGCACCCCAAGTGTAACCCCGTGCTTAGCACAAACACAGGGGCCACCTTCCGTACACATTCTCCTCTCCTGGCTGCTCCCTCAGCCTTTATCAGAGGAGAGAGGGCCAGGGCCAGTCCCGGGAGGTGTGCTTTGTGGAAGTGCTGGTCACGAGGCAGGGGTGTGGCCCTCAGCCCCGAGTATACCCTTGGGGGCCGCAGGGCCCCACCTGCAGGACAGAGTTCAGGTCCACTCCACACAGACTCCAATGGGTGCTCACCTGCTCTACACCATGAACAGTGCTGGGACCAAGGAAGGTAAGACCCAGTAACAGGAGTAAGCTCCTTCCTGGATAACGGAGGGTCATGGGGTCCAGAGCCTCTTATAGGCATTTAAACAGAAGTATGAACCACGGCATTTAAAATAACATCAAGTAGAAATTGGGAAAAAACACGACGACCATGCTGTCTACCCAGGGTCAGGAAACGACCTGCTGGGGGAAGCCTGGCCCCAGACTTGTGACCCACCGAGGAACGGGTCAAACAGAACCAGCCTGTAAGCCCACCAAGCACCCTGTCACGGAAGCTGACCACCACTCCACATCTCCCCAGGTGGGTCATGTACCACTGCGGGGGCCCCACAGGATCATTGTGTGCTTCTCGTCCACAGACAGGTCACCCCAAACAGCGAGACGTGTACTGACTGTAAACAACAGGATGGGCTTTGGGCCTGCTCCTAGGTACCCTGTGCTGACCAGCAGTTGTCAGAAGGCAGAGTCCTGGTGGGCACCAGGCCTACCTTGATCTGTCCAAAGCCAATAGTGACGGTAGCAGCGGAGGTGAACCCCTTAATGACAGGGCAGGAGATAAAGTCCAGCAGGAAACCTGGCAGCCAAGAGGGACACTGAGCTGGCCCCAGTTCCACCAGGTTCCAGAGAATGAGGAGGCTGGGGGAGTGATGGGGTGGGCCTGGGGAGCAGACACTACAGCTAAGGACTGATGGATGGCACACCCCATGTGGGGCGCACTAAGGGGACCCTGGGCCCTGAGGGCACCCCCTTCACACACCCACATAAGGATGGCTCTTGGAATGCAAAGGAGAAAATGCCAACCCCAGGGGCCTCGGTACCCTAGGAAAAGCAGAATTGGAGTCCCCCCCACCCCCCAGCAAGGGGGCAGTCTCACCCAAACACAGGAAGCCCATGGCCAGCTGGATACAGCCCGACAGGAAGGCCAGCAGCACAGCATACGCAGGCTCGTGGAAGGTATAGAAGGACACCAGGAGGGACATGATGGCCGTGGGGCCCAAAGTCACATCCCGGGATGTGCCCAGGAAGAAATACACAAAGCATCCCATGAAGGCAGAGTAGAGGCCGTACTGTTGGGGAGACAGCGGTGAGCACCCAGGAGGCCCAGGCCTTTAACACACGTACCTGGTGTCCAGGTGCAAACACAGGGGACCTGTGGTGCCCGCTGTGTACTGGGCACCCAGGCAGGGTGTACCTCCCACCCTCCTCCAGCCACACTGCAGACCTGAAGTAAAAATGGGGCGTTTTTTCTATCTGCACCACCTTGGGCTCAAGTTATTGATGACCAGATGAAGAGTGTGTGTGTGTGTGTGTGTGTGTGTGGTGGGGGAGCTAGTGTTGCCTGTGTCTGGAGAAGTGTTCTCTAGGCCACCATGAGTCACCCCTCTGGCCCCAGCTGGACCCTGAGCTGGCTGGGTGCCCAAGGCAGTCACATGTTACAGACCAGGGGTTGCTTGGGGGCCTAGGGTAGGGCATGTGCTGGTGCCTGGACTCAATTTTGCTCTGCTTCAGGGTAGGCCCCGAGGCCGGGAAAGGTGTCAGGCTGTGGACAGGGGACATGGTTGGCAAGGGGGCCAGACACCTCACCTGGGGTGGGAGTCCAGCCACTTCTGCATAGGCCAGAGCTTGGGGGATGACTGTGAGCCCAACCGAGAGCCCAGCGATGAAGTCCATCTTCAGCCATTGCAGGGAGTAGTCAGGTAGCCACGCCAGGATGGGCAGCCTCCGCTGCATAGCCGCAGGGGAGCAGCAGCAGCTGTCTGGGGCCATTGTGGAGCGCGAGGACCTGGCCTGACCCAGAGCCTTCACTGAGGAGGGCATCCCTAGGGTGGACAGGCAACAGAAAGCAACAGTCAGGGACCCTGAGAGAGGGACCTGGGGAGAGCCCAGCAACACCAGCAGGGGTCCAGGGGCATCAGGAGCAGGCACCGACTTCCCAGAGGGGTCAAGTGCCCCAGAGCCCCTAAGAGAAAGCCAACCACAGAGGGGCCTGGACCAAAGGCGCAGGTCCACCCTGCACCCTCACCTCTAACTGTTCCTGAATCCTACTTGCCTAAATCTGGGGTGCCCCTCCCTCCCTATCGACGACTCTTACAGCAACTTAACAAAAGGCTGACAAATGGCTTCTTCCTGGAAGCCTGAAGATGAATTTCTCGTTTTTGTTTTCCCTCCCCTGGGAACGTAACCAGACTAGTGCAGACAGAAGCAGGGTCCTGGGCGGGCGCCTCCCGAGGCTGGCAGGATGCGTGGGTGGGGGCCTGTAGGCCCTGATGGGGGGCTCTGAGATTTCCAAGTGCGCAGCATGGTGAGCTCCACCCACTACTGCGGACTGCAGCGCAGATGGGGGGCGTCTCTGGCACTGAGGCCACTTCTTAGCCAGCCACCACCTGTAGCATTCGTGGCCCTAGAGAGGCCCCAGGGATTCTAGTTGGTTCTGGAGAATGACACAGGCTCCTCCATTAATTCAGGGTGCGCAGCATCCTCTAGGGTCCTGGCGCCCCCTACGCGCAGAGCTGGCCCCAGACCCCCACCCCGTCTGGACTGCGCCTCTCTGGGCAAAATCCACTCCTCCCCACCCACCACGATGCCACTAGTCCCCGATCCTGGAATCCAAATCGCGGAGCCCGCGCTGGCTGACTGTCCGCAGCAAGCGGACCCCGAGTACGGCTGAGGGCCCGAGGACCTGGGAGGGGACGCTGGGGGAAGGGTCCCGGTGAGAAGGGCGCTTCCTTGGATCCCCCGGTCGGCCGTCCCCGCTCCGTGACCTCGGTCCGCCCCTACAGCCTTCTGCCTCGGACCCACTCGCCACCCGCCAGTGGCGCGAACTCACCCACCGTGCGCCGCAACTCGGGGTGGCCTGGCGTCTCCGCAGCCAGGTCCGCAGGAATCGCTAGGGGAAGGGGGTGGAGTGGGCGGAGCCGGGGCGGGACCTGTAGTGCACGTGATCGCGGGGCGGGGCGGGGCGGAGCCGGAGCCCGTGACCCGGCAGAGCGCGCGGACCGCGGTCGCCATGCACAGCCCCGGGCCCGCCTGCTGCGCGCTGCTGCTGGTCTTGGGACTCTGCCGGGCGCGCCCCGGGAACGTGCTGCTGATCCTAGGTGAGTGCAGCCACCTGGGCACTACTATTCCCACGGCCACCTGTTGCTGCCCCACAAAGCGGCCACTTGCCCTCTCCCCAGCAGTGCTTGGTGCTGACCCCAGCGTGCCTGGCTGTACAGAGTCACTGCCGTTCCCACCCCATCGCTCCTCACTGCTGCCCACAAACTCTTCGTGGTTGTCTCAGTGGAGAATGCAGTGGGGTCTGGAAGGGTCAGCTCCCTTGTTCAGTACCCCGATTTCTGTCCCTATTCCCGTCTGGCCTTGCAAATCCCCTAGCAGTATCCAGAGCAGCCAAGGCTGCCCTATATGGTGCCAGTAGAACAGCTGGGCAACTGTGCAGGACTCAGGGGTCAACAGAGCCCAGAGAGCGACTGGAGACCTCTCAGGTGCCCCTCCTCACCCTGTGAGCTTAACCTTCCCCTTTCAGGCTCCAAAGCTGTGGCTCAGCTTTCCAGGCCCCCACAACCCACACACCCTCTCAGAAACCCCAAGTTCCTGCAGGCCCTGCTGCTCATGAGACTTCCTGTTTGGGTGACCAGGACTGGCATGTGACACCTCAAACCCTTTTGAGGTCTGGCTTCCTGCCAGGCCCACTCTCTGATTAACTTTGTGGTCTGGGGCAGGCCATTCAGCTAATTGTAAGGTAAACAGCTCTCTTGTCAGCCCCCCTCCCAGGGGCAGGAGAGAAGAGTCTGCCCAGGGATCCATCCTGTCCAGACTGGGATTAGTGCTGGAGCCTTCCAGAGCCCAGACAATGGGGCCCCCAGGGTTGGGCCTGCCTTGGGTTGGGCTACAGTAACAAGGAGCCACAGACCAGCTGTCTTACAATCAGACGGTTATTTCTCATGATTCTAAGGCCCCGGTGCCAGCAAGGTCAGGTTCTGGGGAGGGCTCTCTTCCTGGCTTGCAGATGGCCACCTTCTTGCTGTTTTCTCACATGGCAGGGGAAGGCCTCAGTCCTTAGATTTGACCCCACCCTGAGGACCTCATTTAACCCTCATTAGAGACCCTGTCAACAGCAGTCACATTGGGGTTGGGACTTCAACATATGAATCCGAGGTGGAGTTTGTCAGTCAATTGCTGGGCCATAGCCAAGTGTAAGATGTCTGGACCAGGGCTGTGGCAGGATGCATTCCAAATGGCAGGACCTCAGCATCCTGATCCACCCTCCCAGGCTGCTTGGCTGCCATCACTCATGCCCAGTATGTCCAGCAGGATGGAGGATGGTGGCCCAGCTGGACCTTGGCCATTCACCTCTGTTCAAGGAGTGGGCAGCCTCTGAGGCAGGTGTAGAGGGGGTTGCCCTGGGGCTCCCAGAGCAGAGGGAAGAAGCTTGGTGTGGCTGAAGAAGCTGGGAGGCCTGTCCCCACTCCCCACTGCCCCGCTGTGTGGACATGGGCTCTGCACCTCACCTCTGGGCTTCGGTTGCTTCGTGGTCTCTAGGCTTTGGGGAAGGGGGCTGTGTGTCAGTGAGAGGCGGGGATGGAAACACAGAGGAAGATTCTCAGAGGTGCCCTGGGCCAGCTCTCCTGGCCACTGCCTTGTACAGCTGTAGAGCTTGGGATGCCCAAGCTTGGGTTGTGTCCAGCAACCCCCTGTGACATGCTGGGTTGCACTGTGCTGGACTATCACGCACCCATGGACGTCAAGCTGTGGGGTTGTCCTGCCCCACGCGTAGCATGTCGGCCCCCTTCATAACATACCCACCTGGGTGCCATGCTTGCTGGATACCAGGCCCACCTGGGTCTTATCCCTGCCTGCTAACACCCCCCAGGCATCCTGCCTGCTAGGTATGCCGCCTGGGTGTCATGCCCGTCTGGGTTTCACGTGTGTAGGGTGTCAGGCCTGCCCAGTTTCACGTGTGAGGTGTCACGCCTGCCTGGGTGTCACATGCCCTTGATATTATGCCTGCTTTGTATCAACCACTCAGATGTGCTGCCCGCTGGGTGTCTTGTCCTCCCTGGCATCTGTGACCCAAGCCTCCGCAGCAGGACCCATCTCCCCGCTCCCACACACACTGTGCCTCTGACCCAGCCCCATGTCCCGTCTCCTGCCTCCCCCAGCGGACGATGGAGGTTTTGAGAGTGGAGTGTACAACAACAGTGCCATCGCCACCCCTCACCTGGACTCCCTGGCCCGCCGCAGCCTCGTCTTCCGCAACGCCTTCACCTCCGTCAGCAGCTGCTCGCCCAGCCGTGCCAGCCTCCTCACAGGCCTGCCCCAGGTGAGGGCCACCAGGGGCCCAGGGCCCAGCCTCGGGACCCCCGCCTCCCTAGGGTGCTGCCACTTCCCTCCCATCCCCAAGGCAGGCACAGTGGCCAGTGTCAAGGGCAGACGCCGGCTCTGACTCCCCACCCACCAGCAGAGCAGGCTCCATGGCTCCTCCCTCTCTGTGCCTCAGTCTCCTCACCCGTAAAGTGGAGGCCCAGCAAGACTTGGCTCACAGGGCCCAAGGGGTTGGCCAAACACGGCTCTGTGGGCAGAGCACGCGGCAGCCTGCACACTCAGCCCAGCTGCTGCCCTGCAGTGTGGGGCACCCACCGTGGCAGGACCTGCGCCGTTCAGGCGCTTGCTCTTTTACTGTTGTAAGAAGGACGTGACTTTGGCATCCTAATGTTTATTTACTAGTTTGTAGTACTAGGGATGGCACCCAGGGCCTCACGCATGCTGGGCAAGTGTTCTGCCACTGGGCCGCACCCCAGCCTTCTTCCAGTTTTATTTTGAGGCAGGGTCTTGCTCAGCTGCCCAGGCTGGCCTTGAACTTGCAATGCCCTGCCTCAGCCTCCTGCGTAGCCGGGAGGCCACGCAGGCCACGCGCCCGGCTGCGTGGCCCATGTATCCCGTGGCACTAGTGCGTGCCTTCACTTTGCTCAGCCCTACCTGTTCATCTTCAGAACTTGCTCCTTTTCCCAAATGGAGACCCTGTCCCTGTTGAACACTGACCCCCCAGGGCTCCTCCCCAGCCCAGCACCCCCCTTCTGCTTTCTGTCTGAATTCGACAACTAGGGACTTCCGTGGGTGGGACCATACAGCATTTGTCCTTCTGTGACCAGCTTGTTTCACCTAGCATGTCCCCAAGGTTTGTCCCTATTATAGCATGGGTCAGAATTTTTCTCTTTTTTGAGGCTGAGTAACGTTCCCTGGTACAAGTGGTCCCATGGTGCCAGTCGGCTCTGTCGGTGCACGTGGTGGCTTCCACCTCTGGCTGTTGTGAGGACAGCTGTGTGATCGTGGGCGTCTTGTGATAGTGCCTTGCTGTAAGCAAGTGTGTGCGCTCCATGCCTACCCCGGGGAGGCCATGCTGAGCAGAAGGCGCTCATGGTCACCGTGTGTCTCCTGAGGGGTTCCTCCTGGCTTCTGGGCGGTGGGGGTGGGGAGGCAGGGCTCTTCCTTTCTTCCTCATTGTCCCTCTTCCTAGACCAGCTGAGGCTTTAACAGGTGTGGTTTCTTTGACAGCGTAAAATGACTAGGTGATCAAGGCAATAGCAAGAAGTGTTCCCTCACAGTCTGCAAGGTGTGATCGTAGCGGAAAGGTGGAAGGTGCAGGGGCTCACAAAGCAGGGAGTGAAAGCCACCTGTCCCGGGCACCTCCAGGTTCTCTTCCTCTTGCCCTGGCCCCGCTGCCATGGCAGGGCCTGTTGGCAAGAAGCAAGACGGGGAGGAAATCTCCCTGGGTGCTGGCCATCTGAGAGGGGCGTGGGTGAGCCGTGAGAGCAGGAGCCGGGGCCCAGCCTTACGGGGTCCTTCCCGCAGCACCAGAATGGCATGTACGGGCTGCACCAGGACGTGCACCACTTCAACTCCTTCGACAAGGTGCGGAGCCTGCCGCTGCTGCTCAGCCAGGCCGGCGTGCGCACAGGTGAGGCGCCATCCCCCTCTGCCCTGTAGAGAGAAGTCACAGCCTGGGAAGTCCACCCCTGAGCTACCCTTAGTTCTGCCCTGGACACTTGTCCCAAGAACCTGGGCTGTAGCCTCCTGGCTGGGCTGGGGCTGCACAAGAACCAACCAAGGGTCTGGGCTGCCTGTCTGCCGCTGTAGCACACTGGGCTAAGGTGTGAGGGGGACAGAGAGGACCCTGGACCAGCCTCTGCCCGCCCCCAGGCATCATCGGGAAGAAGCATGTGGGGCCAGAGACCGTGTACCCGTTTGACTTTGCGCATACAGAGGAGAACGACTCCGTGCTCCAGGTGGGGCGGAACATCACTAGGATTAAGCTGCTGGTCCGGAAGTTCCTGCAGACTCAAGATGACAGGTACGGGGAGGCCCCCTGCATTGCTCTCCCTGGTTAACCTGGACATCCCAGAGTCTCCAGTGGGGATTCCTGGAGCCCCCAGCTGCTGGGGTGGGTTAGGAGAGAAGGTCCTGGACACTCAGGGCAGAGGAAGAAGGAGCGTGGGGAAATCGAGGCAGTGAGGGTGAGGGAGGAGTAGGCGAAGCCGGGAGGCATCCTGGCTAAATAGTACAGGGCCCTCAGGGTGGAAAGTCGAGGTAGTGGCCCAGCCGGCCGACCTCGACCTGGACACCGAGCCCTCCCCCACATTCAGGCCTTTCTTCCTGTACGTTGCCTTCCATGACCCCCACCGCTGTGGGCACTCGCAGCCCCAGTACGGAGCCTTCTGTGAGAAGTTTGGCAACGGGGACAGCGGCATGGGGCGCATCCCAGACTGGACACCCCAGGTCTACGACCCTCAGGATGTGCTGGTAGGAGGGGTCCCTGCCGTGACCACCTGAACCCAGGACCCTACCCTGCTCGCACCCCTGGCCCCAGATGATGAGATACTAGCCCAGAGGAGGAGACCTCTGCCTAAGTGGGGTTCAGACCCCCTCCATGGGGCCACAGGGCGCCCTGGAGACGGGAGGTGACCCTCCAGAGCAAAGCTGTTCCACTGATCCATCCACGGGAGGAAGATGGCGGCAGGCCCCAGGGAGAAGGCTGGCACCTGTGTCTCCTACCCCAGTTCAGTGGTGGGTCCCCCAATCTGAGCCTGACTTCCCACCCTCCTACCTCCCCAGGTGCCTTACTTTGTCCCCGACACCCCAGCAGCCCGAGCTGACCTGGCTGCTCAGTACACCACCATCGGCCGGATGGACCAAGGTGGGTTCTAGGAATGCAGGCTGTGAACCCTGCCCTGGGTTGGGTGCCCCTCAGCTGGGTTAGGTCAGCAGAGGAGGGTCCTACCCACAACAGAGTGTGAGCAAGGGTCGGTGTGGAAGGCCCTGTGCCAGGCTGGGCAGGCGCAGGTGGCCCTGTCTCCAGGGGCACCTCGGCCTTCTCCAAGGTCACCTGCTGCAGAATTCTCCTGGCCAGGCCCTCAGGTGCCCCATCGGCTAAGTGAAGACTCCAAACACTCTCCCAGCAGTGGGGTCCGAGTCAGGTTTGGGTTGGAGCTGCCTGGATTGTGCTGAGGCGGGACCCGGGAGGTGTGCTGGTTTTCTGTGGCTGCTATAACCAAGTACCACAAACGGGGGTGCTTAAAGCAGCAGAATTTTGTGCTCTTCCTGGAGGCCAGAAGTCCGAGGTAAAGGTCTGACTGGCCTCACCCCCTCCAAAGGCTCAGGGGGTGTCCAGCCTGTCCAGTTTCTGGGGCGGGGAGCCCTTGGGGTCCCTCAGCTGTGGGAGCGCTGCTGAGCTTCAGCCTCCACCTCGTGTCCCTTTGCTGGGTCTTGTCTGTGTCTCCTGTTCTTACAAGCACCCTTGTCATTGGGTTTAGGGCCCACCTGGGGACTTCAGGATGCTCTTGTCCCCAAATCCTTAACTTACATCTGCAAAGTCCTTTTCCAAATAAGGTCATCTTCTCAGGTTGGGGGTGGACATATCTTTAGGGTTACACCTTCAGCCTGCTGTAGAAGGTGGGGGCTTTTATCATGTCTCTGCTGGTGCCTTTAGGGGTCCCGGTAATGGTGGGTGAAGGGAAAGTCTGTCTTCAGGCTGTCCCTCTTGACTTCACTGGATGGATATGAGATTCCAGAAAATACAGAAACCAGTGAGGGGCAGGAGCAGCCGCCTGGGCATGCCGGTGGTGACAAGGGATGACCAGGTCCCTGGAGGCCCCTGAGCAAGAGGCCTGGGTTGGCAGGAAGGATCCCAGGGGTCTCTGGGGAGGTAGCATGCTCCAGCCCTGGGCTTAATCCCCAGTATGTGGGTGGGGGGCACCAGGGGTGTTGTAAGTCCAGAAGGTGACAGAGCCCAGCGGCCAGGTAATGAGGTGCAGGGTAAGCACACTTGCCCAAGTCCCTCTTCACGCCTGCAGCTGAGCCTGTGCCCCTGCACCCCAACAGGGATCGGGCTTGTGCTTGAGGAGCTGCGTGGAGCCGGGGTCCTGAACAACACCCTGGTCATCTTCACATCCGACAATGGGATCCCCTTCCCCAGCGGCAGGACCAACCTCTACTGGCCGGGTACCGCTGAGCCCTTGCTGGTGTCCTCTCCGGAGCACCGGAAGCGCTGGGGCCAGGTCAGCGAGGCCTTCGTGAGCCTCCTAGGTATGGCTGTGTCTGCCTCGTGCAGGGGAGGGTTGGAAGTGGCCATCTGATGGGACTGCTATGGGCTAGGCCCGGCTCTGCAGTGTGACCCAGCCGTGACCCAGGCAGGGAAGGGACAGCGGCCCCTTTACATGCGTGAGTACCAGAATCACCTGGCACGCGAGTTAATGTCCAAATCACACCCCAGAGTGCCTGACAAGTTCCCCGGGGTGCCAGCACCGTGGGCCTGGGGCCCCACTTTGAGAAGCACTTACCCATGGTGCCCTAAGGCGGCCCTGGGTGGTCGAGTCCCACACTGCAGTTGCGTGGGCAGAAGCACAGGTGCAGGAAACTGAGAGGCTGAGCAGAGCGTGGCCCAGGCAGGAACTGGCCGTGCTCTGCCCTCTGCTCACAGGAGCCGCGGGCAGGCTGGTCAGGGCAGCTGTGCCCCTGGGTTCCCTCCAGCTCAGGCCCATGTCTCTCTTAGCCCCCAACCCTGAGCCAGGGACGCTGTGACGGCACGCTGCGTGAAGGGGCTCCCTGCCTGGGGCGTGCACTTCCTGGGGTTTTAGAAGGACTCCAGCTATCACCAGGCTGGGCCTCTACTAGTAGAGGCCAAGTGGCCTAGGGATGACCCGACCCTGAGGGTGTCCTCCCAAAGCAGCACCCCTGCTGGCAGTTGCTTCAAGGCTTAGACGCAGCTCTTCCCCAGGCTCTGCCCTCAGGCTCTGCCCTCAGGGACCCTCCTGAAGCGCCCTCTCCTTTGCTTCCAGATCTCACGCCCACCATCTTGGACTGGTTCTCCCTCTCCTACCCCAGCTATACCATCTTTGGCTCCAAAACCGTCCAGCTCACGGGCCGGTCCCTCCTGCCAGCACTGGAGGCAGAGCCCCTTTGGGCCACCGTCTTTGGCAGCCAGAGCCATCACGAGGTCACCATGTCCTACCCCATGCGCTCTGTGTACCACCAGAACTTCCGCCTGGTGCACAACCTGGGCTTCAAGATGCCCTTCCCCGTGGACCAGGACCTCTACGTCTCGCCCACCTTTCAGGACCTCCTGAACCGCACTGTGGCCGGCCAGCCCACGGGCTGGTACAAGGACCTGCACCACTACTACTACCGGGACCGCTGGGAGCTCTACGATGAGCACCGCGACCCCCGCGAGACCCACAACCTGGCTGCCGACCCACGCTTCGCCCAGGTTCTGGAGGCGCTGAAGACCCGCCTGGCCAAGTGGCAGTGGGAGACCCACGACCCCTGGGTGTGTGCCCCCGACGGCGTCCTGGAGGAGAAGCTCTCTCCACAGTGCCGGCCACTCCACAACGAGCTGTGACGTCCCAGGGCACACACAACCAGCGCCCTCGCTCCTCTGTGACGTCAGGTGTCACACGGCCTCTCCTCTCCTGAAGGGGAGACCCCATATGCCCTATCTCCTCCCTTGGGGGGGATGCCGCCATAGCAGGGGACACTGTTGTCCTCAAGTCTGAGCCGTGCCCTGGCACAAGAACTGTAGGGGGTAGCCCGGGACAGGGTGGGATCCCCAGCCCATGCTTTCAGGGTGGGTTTGGGGATCCCAAGACAAAAGGGCAGGGACCTTGATCAGTGTTAGGCACCAGGGACATTGCTGACCCCTCTACTGGAGGCAGCCGGACATGGCCTCTGGCGTTACCTGCCTGGCTCTAGGTTGGCTGGCTCCACTGCCTTCCTTTGCCCACAGCCCCGCATCCGCCCCAGGGGGTTCTCACTGGTTCTCGGTGGTGACAGGTTTAGTCCTGGGACCTTGCTGGGCAGAGCTGGTCCTTCTTTCTGAGCTGCTGGGGATGAGGTGTGAAAGGGCACCTTCTGGCTTGGGTTGCATCTTGTGTGACACCAGGGTCTGTCTCCATCCCTTCCTGCCTCTGCCTGCCCAGAAACTCAGCCTTGAAAAACTAGACAGAGGGTCCTCTCCCTCTAGTGGGGTCCCTGCACTCCACTCCATTTGGGCCTGGGGTGGGAGGAAACAACAGCCAGAGCCCTGTGAAAGCCTTTCATTTCATAAAACACATGGAATCCACTTTCTGAACTCATCTATGATAGCAGCAACCTGAATTCTAGGACAATGTCCGGTCCAGGGACACTTTTTGAAAATGACATTCAGTCTACAACAGCCCCAGGAAGTGAGTCAAGTCCAGGTAGGGGCCCTTGCCTAGTCGTCCAGGGCCGAGCATGGAGGCCACCAGGCACAGGCCCACTGAGAATACTGTTTAGGAACTTTATTTACAGGTAAGCATGCAGGTGTCTGTGACCCAGAGGGACTGACACAGCTCCCAGCCATCGGGAGCTGAAAAAGTCAACCAGGGCCACATTGCACGGGGTCTCTGCCTCTGCCCTGGGCAGGGGTGGCAGTAACCTTGGGGACACTGAGGCTCCCAGCCGGCTGCTCCAGGGGCTTTGGGAGGTTCCCTTTGACATCTTGAAATGTGAAAGGAAGGGCAGCCGGTGATCAGATTGGGGGTTTATCCAGTTGTCCCAAGAGGCTGGGGCCCCTGGCTCTGGAGAGCCCACGCACACACTGCAAAAATGTTCCCAGGGCCTCTGGTTCAGCCCATGCCACGCCCTGGTGAAGGGCGGAGGGGTCACAGTGGGTATGGGTGACCACTCTGTGCCCCACACGTGGTGAGGGTGCAAAGTGAGACCCCAGCCAGAGGGGGAGCCGGCCTGCATGCTGAGCTGTCCCAGCTGTGCCCCGAGGCTCTGGCAAAGGACAGGATGGCAGTGACATGGGGGTCCTCACAGCCCAGGGAAGGGTGCCTCAGCGTCAGTAGGGGCTCTCCTCCGTCCACACCACCTTCTTCTGCTCATCTGCAATGGCCAGGCGGACACAGCCCAGCAGGACGTCCACGTCACTCCAGGCATCAGGGGCCAGGCTGCTGTATAGGCAGGGCACTTTGTCCAGGTCGGCCTCCTCCTGCCTGGCCGCCTCCAGGAGCTGCTCCTCCGAGGTGCCCAGCCGCTGCAGGCCTTTCCTGGGTGGCAGAGACCGTGGGGCTTCAGGGCAGAGCAGGGTCACCTGGCTCCCCAGGAGAGAGCCAGAGGCACAGCACCTGCCCAGACACCCCTGGGTGCAGACAGTGGCCCACCTTGAGGGGACCTCATAAAGAAGCTAGGACTGAGCCGGGCACAGTGGCGCACGTCCGTTTTCCCAGTGCCTTGGGAGGATCACCAGTTCAAGGCCAGCCTCAGCAACTTGGAGGCCCTAAACAACTTAGACTCTGTCTCTAAATGAAATATTAAAAGAGCTGGGGGTGTGGCTCAGCGGTGAAGAGCCCCTGAGTTCAATCCCTGGTACCGCCCCCCCCCCAAAAAAAGCTAGGACTAGGCCCCAAAGTGATTTCCACCAGTGGGGGCAGTCGAGCTAGGCCAGGTGGCAGGTTCTCACCTGGAGAGGGCAGGTAGACCTTCGTCCTGAACTTGGGGGGGTATGGTGTTTCCAGGGCCAGAGCAGCGTAAGCTCTGGAAGCCCCTCAGCGGGCCCTGAAGCTGGACACCTGTGCGTTCTGCAGCTCCGTGCCCGTCCAGCCCCACTGCCAGCCCCCAGTGGGCACCTACTTGAGTTTCTTTGCATTCTTCTCATTGATGGAGACATGGACGATGATGGGGAAGATGTCCATCTGATGCAGGCTACGGACGCTGTCCAGCCGGACATCAAGGAGGGCGTGAGTGTTCTTAGGGGGAGAGAGAAGGAGGAAATGAGTCAAGATCCTGGGTCTCGGGCCTTGGAGGAGCTATGAGGTACAGAGCCTCGTACTCATAGCTCCTCCCAGGGACCGTCTTCCTCGCTGGAGCCTCAAGCACCGGAGCATTGGCATCTCCATTCTATTCATGCATTTGCTAAATGTCTCCTGAGTCAAGGGAGCTGAGGATCAAGGAGTCAGCTTGCCAAGGTCCCATGGATCTGGGTCCCTTCCACGGAGCATCCAGCTGGGGTGTCCAGGGCCCCAGAAGTTGTCCCCAAATCCTCCCAGCCCAGGTGGGAGCTGCGGTCCCTGGAGCAGCCCCAGGCCCACCCCTACCTCTTCCATGAGGGACTCTACAGCTTGGCGTGTCACCCAGCAGCGGCCATGAGATTCCTGTCCCTCCTGGATGATGTCCCCTCTCTGCCTCCAGGTGTCATATTCCTCCTGGCTCAAGTACTCTAGAGATGACATCAGGCAGGGCCGTCACACCTGGCTGCACAGGGATCCTCAGGGGACCCACGTGAATACCCCTCCCCATGGGTCCCACTAGCCGGCCCGAGAAGCTCTAGGGTGGTCACTTCCCACCAGGAGGAGTCTGTGCTGGACACTCCCACCCTGAAAGACCTGGACACTGCAGGGGCAACCACCAGGGTCAGGACGTGGATGGGAGAAGAGAAAGATGATGGGCGGATGGGATGGGCGAGCGGATGGATGTCCAACTTCTTACGGCTGGACGTTCCCTCAGCTCCTTAGATCACTGTTGTTCATCCAGGGGCACTTTACCCTCAGGGGACATTTTCAGGGGCTATAGCTAGAACAGGGCTCTGCTATGACATCCAGTAGGATGAGGCTGGGGTGCTGCCCAACACCCTCTAACGCCCCCACAGTGGACACGGCCTGGCCACGCGAGTCCTGGTGTGCAGCTGAGACCCCGCTGGGAGCAAACCTGGAGCCCTCCGGGCCCTGCTCCTGAGTGGCTGTCCTTGTCTGCCAGGCCCCGGCTCAGAACTGCACCCCCTCCTCCTGACCACCCCACCACCTCGGCACCCCTGATCTGGGGCTGCCAGGTGCCCTTCCTCCCTGCTGAAGCTTTGCCAGCACCTCCACTGGCCCACGGCCCTGAAGACCCTCTCTGGGCTCTGCTCTAGCCACCTCCCATTCTGTTTTGGAGACGGGCATCAAAGGCCAAGCCCCCCAGGTCTTTGCACTGACTGGGCCTCCCCAACCCGCGTGCGGTGGCTCAGGACTTGTGCCTTTGCACATCTGCCCACTGCCTGGGGATTGGCGGCTCCCCCCTAGAGCTGCCCCTCCTGGCTGGCCCCCGGTCCCTCCCACACAATCCACCACTACCCCTTTGGGCCACCTACTGGGGCTCTGCCCCTCCCACGGGCCTGCCCCATGTAGGCCCAGGCAGCTGTTTCTGAAGAAGTGGTGGGACTCGGCATCTCCAGCTGCCCCTTGGAGCCTGGCCACGGTCAGTGCTCATGAAGGAACCTCCTAGGCCGCGCCTGCTTCCTTTCCTCTTGGAAAGCCAGAGGTGGCAAAGACACCTGGGTGTCACCCAGTACCGGCCAACAGCCTCTCCTGCTGCCCGGGATTGGCGGCTCCCCTGTGGAACCGCCTTGAGTGGCTCGGGGGGCAGGTGGCCCTCCAGCTGTGCTACCCCAGTGGGTAGAAGCCTGTTTGCCAACAGTGACTGTCGGGGTGGAACAGTGCCCTCATTCGTGTCCACACAGAACCTCAGATGGAACCTTAACTTGGAAATAGGGTCTTCAGAGCAGGCCAGGTGAGGTCTTGCTGGATTGGGGGGTCCTAAATCTGATAACTAGTGTCCTTACACGAGAAGGCCATCTGAAGACCCAGGGACACAGTGAGGCGGGAGCCGTGCAGACCCGGGCCAGGGAGTGCCAGAGGTCCCCAGAGGCTGGAGGAGGGAAGGGAGGACCTGCCCTGGAGCCCCTAGAGGCCGTGGCCCTGCGGAGGAAACCCACACCGGGACCTTCACCTGCTGCCTCAGGAGCAGACAGAGCCTTTCTGGCAGGGCCAGGTGAGAGCGCACCTGCTGGGCACTTCCTAAACCCCTGGAGGAGGCAGAGCTTCCTGCTCAGGATCTTCCCGACCACCCTGGGCACCAGGAGCACGGGCCGGGGCCGGGCGGGCCTGTGGGGGTGCACCAGGCTGTACGGCGCCAGGGTAAAGCAGCTCTCGGCCCAGAAGCACGCGCTGGAGCAGTCTGTGGAGGAGAAGGCTGGTGAGCAGGGGCGCCAGGCCACGGCCACCCCTCGGAGCCCCACTGCTGCCCCAGCACCTACGATAACAGGGACTCAGTTCAGCACCACTGATCACGCCTTCCACCCCACCCCAGGCCTCCCAGCATTTCCTTGACTCAGTAGTAAACAGCGGGGAGGGGGGTGGGCTCTCCAGGCTCAGGGCCGATGACCTTGACATCCTGTTTGACCCCTAGAGGTCACAGAGGAAGCAGATTTTCTCCTTCCAGACGAGGATCTGGGAGAGCCCAGCCCCTTCCCCAGTCCTGCCCCCAGGGCTCCAGGTCCCCAGCCTCCCTCCTTCCTGGGCCCTTCCCTCTACTCCTGAGATACTTGTGCTGCTCTTGGTCCTCAACAGCCACCTTGTACTGGGCACTGAAAGAAAACTTCAGGGGGAAAATAAACCAAAATGATTCTTCTCGTTCTAACTTGGCTTCTGATGGTCTTCATTGAGCAGTCTTACCTGCCTCGGGGTCTGTGCCAATCTGGCCTCTACCATGACCTCGTGCACACACTGGTGGCTAAGTGACCATCCCAGGGTCCACTGGCTTGCATGATGTTGGTGGGTTTCAAGTTTTTACTATTCCAGAAAGACGGCCATGGATAGGGTTGTGCCAGTGGCATCTGCACTATTTCCCTGGGGCAGGTCACAGAAGTCATGGAGGAGGGAGTGACAGTTTGGAGGACATCACAGATATGTAGCTTAGTGGCGTCCAGAAGGGCATGTAGACATCAAATACAGTTTTTAAAAAACCGACCCTGGCCTGGGCAGGAGGCCTCAGGCTGAATAAGCTGGCCACCCAGGCAGCTCCCGGGCCTCACCTTCTGCCCTGCTGGGGTCCTGGCCCTCACCAAAGGATGAGCACAGAGGACCATCCTTGGCTCTGTCCATGCTGACGATGCGCACCAGCTTCTGAGTGCCCCCGGAAGACTGCCACGGGAGGGACGGGGAAGGGAAGAGGGGTGAGGAGGAGCTGCTGACGCCACCACACAGGGCCTGAGGCCCAGCCTCCCAACCCTGCCCCCAAGCAGATCCAGTGTGGTCTCTAACCATCAGGCTGTGCCCAGTGGACAGGGGCAGGAGGCAGGGGAGGGTCCCCAGGCAGGCAGCCTGAAGCAGAGGGAAGAGCGTCCCCACACCTAAGCACTGCCGGCTCTGGGACAGGACCATCCTAGCTGCCGCTTGGCGACAGATGGGTACTCAGCAACCCGCCCCGTGTTGTGTGCAGAGGAAGGAACGGGACGACAAGCAGGCAGACGGGGCCAGGCAGGTGAGGCATGGAGCAGCTACGTGTGAGAGCAGGACCCACTGGGTTTGCACAGAGTGTTCCAGGGCCTGCGTGCAGGGAGAGGCATGCAGACCCCTGCAAAGGTCTGGAGGGCCCATGGGGACAGGCGCTGCCCTGCTCAGATCAGCTCACACCTGCCCCGGGACCCCGGGCCCACACCCCACACCCTCGCAGCCCACCCAGGGCCTCACTTTGCGGGCAACCGTCCGCTGTTGGGTCACGTCCTGGATAAGGGTGATGAGCTGCTGCTGAGCCCTGAAGGGACAAGGAGAGGCCCCTGCCCAGCTGCCATGGCTGCTCTCGTGTCCAGGAGCACCAGGCAGGAGAGGTGTCCCTGCCCGCTGGGCTTCTAGCAGGAGTGCTCAACCCTGGCAACGTTCACAGTCCCCAGGGCTTAAAAAAGACCCCAGGGCCTAGCCCCACCCCAGATGCTCACTCAGGTGTTGTGGGGGAGAACCCGTGTACTCTAACGAGTGGCCAGGCCAAGGACCTGCTCGGGAACCTTGCCACTGGCACTGCGGGCAGCCCATGTCACTGAGAGCTCGAGTCAGACATGCCAACGGGCAGCCTCTCCCAGGGCCTGCTGGGGCACTCACAGTGGACGGGCGAGAGGTGCTGGACTGGAACACCTCTGTGCACCTGAGCCTCCCGGGTCCCCACAGGTCACTCTAGGACGTGCTCACGGGGAGGGTGAGCAGCTCTTTGCCCAGTTTTCCCAGGACTGAGGGGCGGCCCTGGATGTAGGGCTTTGGGTCTTGGGCAAACCAGGGGACATTTGGCAAGGTGTAGGGACACTTTTGACTCTCACAACTGGGGGTGAGGCGTCCCTAGTGTGAAGGCCCCACCAGGGTGACCAGCCCCAGTGTGATAGGGCCAGGGCTGGAGCCAGAGCTCTAGAAGACCTGAGGTCCCTCCTTGTCCAGGGTAGAGCCCCTATCAGCAGGAGACCCCAGCAGTGATCTGGGCCACAGCCCCTTCTGTGGAGTGTCCATCCCTTCCCCCCACTCCTGAGTAGGGCTCTGCAGCAGGAGCGGAGGACAACATCCCACGGGCCTCTCCGGGATGAGTGGGCTTGACGGCTCCTCACCGTGGGTAGTTGGGGATGGCCCCGTGCTCTGCGTCCCTCATGGTGTAGGGGTTCACACGGTGGGCGCACCAGCAGCCATGGCCCTGGAACACGGTGTCTGTGACGTGCAGGACCTCATTGCAGTGCACCTGCAGCTCCCCCGGCCCCTTCGCCTGCATGGCCAGGTTGACCCGGATGTAGAAGGAATCTCCTGAGGTCACCACTTTGGCCTCCAGGTCCTGGACCAGCTTCTTATAACCTGATAAAAGGGGACATGAGGGACTGAGAAGCTCACAAGGAAGGTTCTAGAATGTGAAAGTAGGACAGAAAGAAGGGCCCTCCCCCTGTATCTTGGAAGATAATTGGTAAAGTCAGCGGGTCGAGGGCTTCCAGCTCAGGGGCTGGGGACTCGGGGCACAGCTGACTGAGCAGCTCTGGGGAGTCTGGGTGCTGGGCTGTGGCCCAGCTATGGGCCAAGGATGGGGACGAGGCTGGGTGGCTGAGCAGGAGTGAGGGGCGGCACCCCTACCCTCAGTGTTGACCTTCACAGACAGGCAGCAGAAGCCGTCCACCCTCCGGAGGAGCCCCAAGGCCTGCTCCAGGGTTGTGTTCTCCAGGGTGGCCTTGAATGAGGGCTCGGTGGCCTCGTGATCCACCTGAGGGGCAGTGCCGGGGTCAGCATCTTGGACCAGGACTCTGCAGTCACATTCTGAGTTCAGAGAAGCTGGGCAGGGGCTTGGGGCAGGCATGGTGCAACCCTGCACAGGGACGCTCTGGCCTCCTCAGCTGTCCAGGCACCTGGCCCAGACGCGGCCACAGCATGGAGCCTCGTGGCAGGCTGTGCAGCAGGACAGGGAGGTGGGCCCGGAAGTTGTGTGGACTGCACCAAGCACATTCCTGGGCCCCGGGGGCCACCCACCAACCCAGCCCCAGCCCCTCATCCCTAAAGACCACATATCTTTGTGATATGCAGTTTCCTCTCTTGAAAATAGACTTCTGTTCTAGAACATTCCGGAGTGTTCCAGACCTGGGCTTGTCAGGCTTGAGACTCCTCACTAGGGGAGGGGCTGGCCCACTCTCTCCTGGGGGCTGTGGGTGTGGAGCAGCATCCTGGTGCTGACCTCTCAGTGGGAAGGCACCCCCCGGCCTTCCCCACCTGTGAATACTCCCAACAGGGCCTCCACTTTGCTCTTGGGTTGAGTTTAGGAGAATGTGCATTTTTGCTATGAGATAAAAATTAAGCCATGTCTTAGGCCATTAGGACTGAGCTGGCCCAAAGGACACCAGGACTGTCTCCAGTACCACAGAGGGACTCTGCTACTTTACCACCCAGCTGGTGGCTGGGACTCCTGGGACTGCAGAGATGTCACGGGGGCCTTCTGCCAGGGGTGGAGTGAGGGATACCTAATGGCATCCTGCTAGGAGACAGGTGTCTGTCCAAGCTAAGGACAGCTTCACTGTGGACGGCCTGTGGCAAGAGGCTCAAAAGACACTCCTGCCAGGGCACCGCCCACCCTGCCTGGCCCTTCTCTGGGCCCTCACCAGCCCCTGTCTCCTCCTGGCCCACGGTGAGCCTTGGGCAAGGGGGAAGCCTGCTTTGCATGTTTCTTGGTATAACATTGGTATATATTTAATACTTGAAGTTTAATAATTCTGGTTTTGAGGTCACGTCACAGTCACCCTCCCTGCCCTGTGTACTCCATCAGTACATTTATGTTCTCTTCTGGTTTGCACATTTTACAATAAAAAAAAAAAATTAGAAAAATGCATTTTGGAAAAATGCATTTTGCACGAGGATCACAAGCCTCAGCAACTTAGTGAGGTCTTGTCTCTAAATAAAATATAAAAGAGGGTTGGGATGTGGCTCAGTGGTTAAGCACCAGGGGTTCAATCCCAGTACCCCCCACCCCCACCAAAAAAAAAAGTCCCTGGTCAGGGCTGGGGCACAGCTCAGCGGTGGAGGGCTTGCCAGTACACAAGGCCCTGGGTTCAATGCCCAGCACTGAAGGGGGAAATTAAAGACCCTGTTCAGAACCACCCCAGTAGCCTTCTCACCTGTCCCGGCAAAGTCCCATCTTTCGAGCTCCAGGTTTCCCAGAGGCCAGGCTCGGAGAAGCTTGGCCTCCGTCCTCCCCAACCTCCCCTGGAGATGAGGGCACACCTCACGCCAGCCTGGTGGGGCTGCGAATCCACCCGCATCGCACCCACCCCGCTGTGACTGCAAGGAGGCTGGCGGGCCCTCGCCCACTCTCACCGTCACGATCTGGGTGCCCGGGCGCAAGGCCATCCCATCTGCTGCTGAGCCTGGAGTGACCCGGTGAATGAAGATGCCCGTGAGGTTTCCGCCAATGACACTGATCTGCTCCAGCAGTGCACGTCCCTGGAAGGCCAGCACCGTCACCTGGCTCAGGATCTTGCGGGCTGGCCTCCGCCGCACAGGGGCGCTGCTGCAGTGGGAAGAAGCCGAGCTCAGGTGCTGCCCAGGACAGGGCAGCCAAGGCTGTTTCCGCCTTGCACCCCCACGCCCTGCCCCGGCATCTGGAATTCTCCTCCTCCACCCACAGTGAGCCTTGGGAAAGGGTGAAGCCTGTCTCCTTGGAAAGGCTGTCCCCTCCCCGTGGTGAGAGGACGTGGTGGTCCCGCTGTGCTCTCTCAACCCCCAGCTTTGGTTCCCCAGGCACAGCTCACCTTTCAGGGCTGTCCAGGCTCCTGGAGGACAGCTGCGGGCTGCCCTCAGGCTGGGGGAGGTCTGGGAGGAAAGTGGGAGCTTAGCGGTCACAATTCAGGGTCCCCCACTGCTGACCCCACTGACCCTGTGCAGCCACAGCACCCCACCCCCTCCTGGTCCCTCGCTTTGCTGACACTGGAAGGTCTTTTCCTCCTCCTCTTCCTCTGTGCTTAGCACCTGATCTCACCTTTCCTAAAACCAGAGGGAGCACTGGGAGCTGTGGGTCTCGGGAGACCTGCATGAGTGGCCGACGTCTCTGGACATGGGGACGTTTCTCCCAGAACCTGGATTTCTGATTTCACTTAGAAACCCAATCCAGCACGACTTTGGCTGGGCCTGCCTCTCCACAGGGGCATTTCTGCACGGCTGCATCTCGGGCTGGCCAGTGGCCAGCAGACCGTGGCAGGTCCAGGACTAGATGCTCCCCTGGCTCCCAGGCTCTAGCCTTTGACTCTGCAGCCCGTGAGCAGGAGGCAGGTGCCTGTGCTTCTCACCCTGCAAGTGGACGGCGAGAACCAGCGGGATCGTGACGGCTGTCTGCTGTAGGAACCTGTGCTCAGCTCAAGGCAAACATCCATTTGTGATTGTGCTTAAAATCCCAATTAAATCAATCATATGTGCTCTGGCAGAATCCCGCCCGACAGAAGCAAAGAGGACCAAGCACTTCCAGGCCATGATCTCACAGCCAGCTGCTTGCCATGGGTGGGCCGTCTAAGTTCGCCACTGTTACACATAAAAACATGTCTGAGCCTGCAAGGTTCAGGTTTCTGGTCACTGGCACCCACAGACCCACAAGGCCACCTGTGCAGAACAGTGCGGGGCACTTGCGCCCCCTGGTGGCTACAGGGTGATTTGCAGATGGGAGCTAAGCACCTACTATGCCGGGAGCCAGTATTCTCAAGGGGCTCACGCACCTGGGAGGGAGAAGGGAGCAGTCCAATCACAGACAAGAGGAATAAGCCCCAGGAGAATCAGAGACCAACACCCAAGAGGGGGATGCTCCTAGCAGGTGGACCACAGCCTGTGGTGTGCCCCGCCAGGAGCAGCTGGGCACCTAAGCCTGTTAGTGGCCTCCTGACAGCCTGGGAGGCCCAATGGTCCAGAGTAGAGCAGTGGGGGACACACATGCTAAGCTGGACATGGCTATGAATAACTCCCCCGGACTCTATGTGAGGCACAGAGACAGAGACCCCACTGAGCAGAGAGCAGCTGGGCTTTGGCCTGAGTGGCCAGGTGGTCAGTCTGGACAAGGGGTGAGCTGAGGTCAAGCTCACCCCTACCTGCCAGTCCTCAGGCGGTCTCATGTGTGGCCCTGCAGCTTGGCCAGCAGCCCGGGATGGGTGGACACTGCAGAGGTCTGGGGGTGATCACACTCACCTGCCCTGTCCAGAATCTCGTAGTCCAGGTCTGTGTCGTCCCCCTTGGCCCCCGGAGGGGCTCCTAGGTCTACCTCCAGGATTCCCGGGAAGCTTCTGTGAAGCACAAGGAGCTGCTCAGGTCATGTTGCCCGCTACTGCAGGGGCCTGGCGGCTCCAGTCCCTTCCCAAGCAGCTGTGTCCATGCCCAGATGGTCCAGGGGCTAGCTCAGTGTCCCCCGTGAGCTGGACCTCATGGTTGCATCACACTCTACCTTAAAGACTCGGGGTCTTCCCGGAAGTCCTCTGTCACCCGCTTATACAGGGACTGCTGGCTGGGAGGCACAGGGCTGCTGGAGCGGAAGCTGTCCATGGGTTCCCGGCTGGACGTGGCGCTCAGGTCCCACCAGAGCTGGGACTGGAGGAGGGCGGTGGAGGGTGGCATCACCGAGAGGGGGCGCGGGAGGGAAGGGAGAGCACATCAAGGTCCCGACCCTGGAACCAGGATCTCTGCAGCTGTTTTGTGTTTAGTATTGCTGGGCTCTCAGGATCCTGCTGGGTGGGCATCCTGTTCCATCTGGTGCGGAAAGCCACCAAGGCCCGGAGAGGCGCAGTTACTGCTGGTGATGGAGGAGCTGGGCTCCTGGAGGGAGGCTGCTTTCAGAGCAGGGTCTGACGAGGACCCCAGGAGTACAGAGTTGCTCTGAATTTACTTTCTGAGAATTCCCTGAGCCCCTACTGAGTGCCGGGCCCTGTGCTAGTGTCAACGTACCCCTGAGGACAGGTGTCCTTCCTGGGGTAGGGGATCCATGGGCAAATGCACACCAGGGAGTGGGGTGTGCCTCAGCAGGGTGTGGACAACATGGGCGGGGAAGCCCTGGCGCCTTCCTGGAGGAAGAGACAGAGGAGCCAGGTGGGCAGGCATGGGGCTGTGGCACATTGTAGCTAAGGCCCTGGAGAGGCCCAGAGGAAGCCACGAGTGGGTCCCTGGGACATCATAGGTGCAGGAGGGAGGGAGCCAGTTTGGAGCTGCTGAGGCCCCTTTGCTTCCCAGTCCCTAGCACGGCGGCCAGGAGGAATGTGCTACACCTGGGGCAGTGAGGGCACAGGGCGGAAGCCGCTCCTGCCCAGCATGGCGTCTGGATGGCTCTGGCCGTGGAGTCCTGGTGGAATGTGGAGTGGCCCCGGCTTTGTGTGTCAGGGTTCTGGGGAGGACGCCTGGCTCTCCACAACTGTCCAAGAGGTTGGCCAGCGGGTGGGCCTGAGCAGGTTGCCCTGTGGGATGCAGGACAGTGAGGGGAGGCTATCATGCAGGAAGGAGACACCAAGGCCAGCTGGGGCAGTGGCCCAGTGCGCTAGCCTGCCTCCGGTCCTCTCTCCCAGCTCATGGTAGCCCTTAGCAGGGGTGCCTCTGCCTCACCCTGGGCATGCTGGACCCACATGCCCTCTATGGTGAGACCACCTCTTGGCTTTGCCAGAGGATATGAGCAGGTGCTGGGGACTCAAGGTTCCAGAGACTGCAGTGGGTCAGACCACCCAGGAGCCCTCTGGGCCCAACAGAGCTGCACCCCCAAGTTCACGTCCACTGGTGACCTGAGATGTGCCTTTGGGACTAGGATCTTTGTGTGAGATGGAGCCCCGATGGAGTCAGAATGGACCAGAGGGGCCCTGACTCCCCCAGCCTGGGCCTCCCCGCCTGGGCCTCCCTGCCTGGAGTGTGCCCAGGGGCCTGGCCCAGCCTGTGGTGCTGCCAGAGATGGTGGAGCCTCCAGGAAGTGGGGCCTGAGGGAGGAAGTTAGGTTGTTGGGGGCGGCCCTCAGAGGGGGTGCTGGGACCCGCCCCTCTCCCTCTCTGCTTCTGGGCCACCATGAGGTAAAGGCTTTGCTTAACGCCCCCTACTGCCTCACCACAGCTCACACAACAGAGCCAAGCAGCCACGGCCCAAACCTCTGGAACCGAGTCAAAAGGCTGTTGCGAAGGTTTAACTTCCATTAAGTGGATGACCTCAGTCATTTTGTGTCTGCATTAGAAAGCTGACTAACACATGTTCTCAAAGGAGGAAACGTGGGCCCAGAGAAACCACAGGGCACCTCGCAGGAAGATGAAGGCAGAGCCTGCAGTGATGTGGTCACCAGCTGAGGAGGCCAGGAGCCACCCGGAGCTTGGAGAGCTATCAGAGTGTGGCCCTGCTGACACCCTTTGATTCTAGATTTCTGGCCTCAAGAGCTGCCAGGGAATTGGTTCTCACTGACTGGACTCTCCCAGTGGTATTGACCTCTCCCCACGGGGACAAGGGGGTGGAGACGCCCGTGGTCCAGATGGAGGGTGCCGGGGCTGTGCGTGGCGGAGCAGCTGGGCAGCAGGAGAGCTGCTTACCTCGGTGGAGCTGCTGTCCACCCCTGGGCACACCGCATGCATCCGCACCAGCCGCTGCTTCCCCCGCGGGCAGGGTTCCCTGGCCTCGCGGGCCTCCCGGGCCTCCGCTTCCTGCTTGGGGCCAGAGGGGTCCTTAATTCAGGAAAGCTACCTGGGGTGCCCAGGGCTTTCCAGTGGGTCACTGCCCCGCAGCGTCTTTTCATAGGCTTCCAGGAAGAACAACCCCTGTCCTCGGAGCAGGGGACCCCAGCGCGCAGGAGCCAGCCACCAAGGAGACCAGCAGCACTGGAGAAGTGGCGTCTTAGAGGAGGCGTGAGTAAAGACGCGCTATATAGATACTTAACACAATGTGTATTCTACATAGAAAACAGGGCGCCTGGGGGACAGCTCAGTGACAGAGCACTCCGCCTAGCGAGCCCAGGGCCCTGGGTTCTGTCCCCAACGCCACGAAAAACAAGAGCAGAGGAGAAAAAGAAAGAAGAGAGCCCGGAAGGGACCGAGCTCCACACCCACAAGGAGCATGGTTTGCCTCTTGGTGGCTGTCCCTTTACGTGTCTGTGTGTCTAACGCCGTTGGGGTGAGGAGGAAGAGCCGCTGCCCCCCCACTCACCTCTGCTGAGTCCCCAGCCCCAGGGTGCCTGGGCAGCACTGCCTGTGGTCCAGGACCAGAGGGCTCTGACCTCTGGGACCAGAGCTCCCTTTGCTACTCGCTCTTGGACACGACTCTGACATTTTGGAAAGTGTCATCTATGCACGGCTGCCCATGGAGCCGCTCTCCACCAGGCCCCGGACCTCTGCTAACCCTCCCCGTCTGTAACAGGCTGGTATTTTCAGAAAAGGGTGTGCCCGTGTGCTTCGTCAAGACGTCAAAGCCCCACCTGCGTGTGGGAACCGGCAGGCAGGCAGAGGGACAGCTGGACAGCCTGCCTGCCGGGGCTGCTGTGGCCCAGCCTGGGCTCAGCTCCTCCTCTCCAGCCCCCTTCCTGCCGCCTCCTTGAAACAGCCCTGAGCCTGGTGCTGGCCACAGAGCACTCACCCCTGCTGTGGGCTCTGCCCGTAGCTTGCAGAGCTGGGTGCGCAGCTCGCAGACCTCAGCGGTCAGCTCGAACACTCTTCTGCGGAGGGAATCCTTCTCCGTCAGGCTCTGAGAAATCGCCAGCTGGGCTCTGTCCCTTGCAGAGTACGCCTGTGGGCCAGAACAGGACAGTCAGGAGGCTGGGCCATCAGACGAGGGGGCCTCAGCTGGAGAAGGCACCACTGCTGGTGGGCATTTCCCGGGAACTCTCCCAGCGAGGAGACTCGCACACCGTCCCCTTCACTCCGTGTATGCACATGTGGTTTTAATAAAAGCCACCATCTGGGGTGGACTTTCTTAATGTCTTGTGCCGGGAACGAAGGCAGAGCGTGTAGTGGCGCACAACGGAGGTGGGGGAGTTAAGAAACCTCGTGTAGACCAAGGAAAGGGACCTTGAAGTCTGGAACCAGCCTTCCATCGGGGACAGGCAGAGCCTGAGAGTGTCCCCCAACCAGCAGCCCTCAGCCTCACCCAGACACAAGTGTGAGGCAGCAGAGGTGGCACGGGCTCCCGAGCTGGACCAGCGAGGAGTGAGGGTGGCCTGTGTGTCCTCCTGGCCCTGGCCCAGCTCCGGGGTACCTGGTCACGCTCCTTCTGCAGCTCGGCCACCTGGCCCTGCAGCGTGTTCATCTTCTCCCTGTACAGCTCACAGTCCATCTGTGTCTTGCGGAACTGGAGCAGGGTCTGCTCTTTCTCCTCCCAGTACTAGACAGAGGGGACAGGGCCCTGGAGGTCAGTGGCTCTGAGGGCCTGGGTGGGGGAGGGGCGGGGAGCGCGGGGGCAGGTGGTTCCAGAGGGAGGAGACTGGAGAGTGGACTCCTGCTGGTTTCTGCAGGGCGGGGTTAGGGTGTGACAGGAGCCGTCCTGAGCTCAGGCCCGGCAAGCAGGGCACCAGGTTTAGCTTGAAGTTACAATTTCCCCCACCGGGCCTCATCCCCTCCCACGGCTCCTTTCTCCCTGTTCTCCCCTCCATTAAATCCCTGGCTGTCACTCTGGCCTCCCCAAACCCTAGAAATCACCCTGGACTTCAGTGACTCTGCCTGGCCGTAGCCTGGCCTTGACCTGGCTCTGACCCAGCATCGGATAGAATGTGCCAGCAAACTGGGTAAGCAAACCTGACGGCCCAGCAAGGACGAGGAGCCCGTCTTCCCACAGATGCAGCCTGCAGACCTGGGGTCACCGGGTCCCAGGGGGGCTGCTGCTGCTCACCTGCTTCCGCTGCCTCTCCGCGGCCGCCGCCCGCTCCCGCAGCGAGTGGATGCGGTCCACCAGCTCCTGCTTGCTCTCCAGGGCCTCGTCCAGGTTCTGCTCCAGAATGTCCTTCTCTGCCTGGTGGACAGAGAGGCCTGAGCTCCCCAGGGGCCCCGGCTGGGGAAAAGGCCCCCGGCGCAGGAGCCCTCGAGGCCAGGGTGGTCACCCCACTACTGACCACCAGGCAGGAAGAAGCTTCGGGAAGGCCCCAGTCACATTTGGGAAAAGACGTTTCAGTTCTAATGCTGCCTGGTCAAGGAGTCAGAGGGAAAAGGAAGCTGGGGACGTCTGAAGGACAACTTCTTTAAGTCCTTTGACCTTCTCCTTCACACACTGAGCTTGAAGGAGGGACGAGCCGAAGGGTGGGCTCAGCACCTTCCAGAAGGAGCCCAGAACCATGGCACATGGAGGCTGCATGATGGTGTGCCAGGTGGCCGGTGGTGTTTATAGAGGGCATTTCTCACTAAATATCTGCTTTTTTTTTTTTTTTTGATACAGGGATTGAACTCAGGGCACTCGACCTCGGAGCACATCCCCAGCCCTTTTTTGAATTTTATTTAGAGTCAGGGTCTCACTGGGTTGTGTAGGATCTTGCTAATTGCTGAGGCTGGCTTTGAACCTGTGATCCTCCTGCCTGCCTCCTGAGCTGCTGTGATTTCAGGGGTGTGCCACTGAGCCTGGTTCCTTCCCCTGAGACTCAGAGTTAACCCCCTCTTTTGTGACTGGCTCAATCGACTCCAATGCAACATGGCAGCGGTGACCGAGGGAGCTGGACCTCCTAACGGCCTTGAGTCCTGCCAGCGTCTGCCCGGCTGGGGAAGAGGAGGGAAGCGGCGAGAAGGTGGCGGAGGGCTGTGTGGCTGGGGCACAGCCCTAGTCCAGTGTGTGCCAGGCCTGGGTCCACCCCCAGCTCGCACACACATGTGGACAGCCCCAGCTGGCGCCCAGGGGAGCAGCTGACCCTGTGGAGGGGGCGGAGCCTACCAGGCTGAACGTCAGCGAGCGCAGTTTCTCATTCTCCTCCCTCAGGCGGGCCAGCTCCTCACCGCCCTCCTCCAGGTCATCGGCCATCTTCAGGGACCTCTCTCGAAATTCCCGCTCACAGGACGACACCATCTGCACCCGCTGCAGCTCCTGCTTCGCCAGGTACAGCTGTCCAGGGAGGAGGGCGAGGACGCCAGGTGAGCAGCTTCCAGCCAGGACGGGGGCCTGGGGGCTTCTCCAGCTGTTCACACGCAGGGGTCCCCGCCGGAAAGGCAGCCAGAGCTCGGAAAGTGAGGGGCCATCCCAGGGCATGGAGCAGGGCGCCCCCCAGCCAAGACCACTGGAAGAGGGACCCAGTCTGCGCCAACAGCGGGTGCACGAGTTGGGGGAGGGGAGGCACCTCCCGTCAGGAGCCAAGGCCAGCGGTTGCCCAGGCTACCACCACGGCCAAGGCTGGGACAGGCTGGCGAGTAGGGGACACTTGCTGGTCCCCAAGAGCCTCCCCAGATGGCCTGTTAGTTGCAGGGGTGAGAAAGAAATGGCGATTCTGTCATGCAGGAAGCGGGCGGCACCTGACCAGATGGTCAACAGCAGCAGCCCCTGACGGGCGGCCAGCAGCATGCCTCCAGGCGGTACCAGCGGACCCAGCAAAGGTACAGACCCTCAGACCTCTCTCGGAAACAGGAGACAGACCCCAACTCTGCCATGAAAGTATCAGTAATCTTCAAAATCATTGCATCCCCCCAGGCCCAGAAGGGGTGTGGGAGGTTCCAGACTGAAGAGGCTGCGAGGCAGGACAAGCAGGCGCACCGCCTGCCCCTGGCTGGAGAGAAGTGCCACAGGGGACTGACTCCATGTGGGTAAGTGAGGGCGTCAGGCCACAGGGGATGAAAGACCACATCGATGCAAATTAACAGAAAAGAGAGCTGTGTGGTTACATAAGAAAACACCCTGTTTTTAGGAAATACACTTTTCAATGTTTGGGAATAGAGGGCCACGGGTATGGGCTGGGGATGTAGCTCAGTGGCAGAGCGCTTGCCTCACATGCCTGAGGCCCTGGGTTCGGTCCCCAGCACCACGTAAAAATAAACAAATAAAGATATTTGGCCCATCTACAACTAAATATATATATATACATATATATATATATATAAAGGCCACGGATATAACTCTGAAGTTGGGGTGTGGGTGTGTGTGTACAGACGGCCCTTATGAACATAAGGGCATGAGGTATTCTCTGTACTATTTTTTTTTTTATTAAATATTTTTTGAGTTGTTGATGGACCTTTATTTTATTTACTTATTTATATGCGGTGCTGAGAATCGAACCCAGTGCCTCACACATGCAAGGCAAGTGCCCTACCACACTGAGCTACAACCCCAGCCCTCTCTGTACTATTTTAATTGTGGATTTTTTTAAGAATTAAGTTGGGGCTGGGGATGTGGCTCAAGCGGTAGCGTGCTCGCCTGGCATGCGTGCGACCGGGTTCGATCCTCAGCACCACATACAAACAAAGATGTTGTGTCCGCTGAAAACTAAAAAATAAATATTAAAATTCTCTCTCTCTCTAAAAAAAAAAAAAAAGAATAAAGTTGAAGTTATTTCTAAATAAAAAGTTAAAATTCAAAACTTAAAACAAACACCTGGAGGCTTGGTGTAGCTCCCTGGTAGAGCACATGCTTCACATACTTAGGTTCGAATTCTAGCACCAACACAAAATAAAGCAAAAATAAAGGCCAAGATCACAGGATAATCCTCAATATTGAAAGAGCACTTATGAATCAATAAGAGGACAGTCTCCCAAGAGAAAATGAGCTGAAGGCACTGCCCTAACCCAGAGCCAGCGGAGGACAAAGGCAGGTGACAGAGATGTCACTGCACTCCTGGGGCAGTGGTCAAGGTGGGTCTTCTAATCTGGGTCCCAGCATAGCCAGACCTGCCTCCAGATGCTGTGGTGGGCAGCTCACACCAGGCCATCCAGGCCACGGGGAATTACAGGGCAGGGCAGGGCAGGCTCGTTGCCGTGCGGGCTCAGCACAGCACCTCAGGAGGCCCCTAGGAGAGCTGGGATCCACTTCCCGGAGGGCCTCAGTCCAGGGTCTGGGCAGGGAGGTGTGCACAAGGAAGAGGTCTCCAGGCAGGCAGACTGACGGGTAAAGGCCCCAGGGTGGGCAGCAGCAGAGTCAGGCTGGGCCCACCACCCGCAGCGAAGGCTGTCCCTGCTACCTCCTCCTGCAGGCTGCGGCCCCGCGAGGTGGCCAGCTCCTTCTCCTGCAGCGCGTTGCTGTAGTGTAGCGAGAGGCTCAGCATCTCGTCCTTCAGCTTCAGCACCTCGTGGAAGTGGGCGCTGAGCTCCCTCTTCATGCGGCTGTGGTCGGCCTCCAGTTGGCACAGGCCCTCGGCACGGGCCTCGGCCAGGCCCAGGCGCTCCTGCAACCTCTGGCACTGCCGCAGCACAGCCTCCCTCTGGGCCTTCTCCTGGGCCAGCTCCTCCTGCAGGCTGCCGATGGCCCCCGCCAGACACTCGGTCAGCTTGGACGTCTCCATGAGGCCTGCGGGGTGGAGGGCCCGGGTGAGGCACTGCCACCTCGCCCGCCCCTCGTCTCCAGCCTCCAGTCTTTGCATCCCGACCCCCAGGCAGGCCCCGGCCCTAACCTGTTTGTGGTAAAAGCTTCCAGGCCTCCATGCACTTGGTATTGTGGTTAAATAAACAGCAGGGTGCGTTAAATAAAAGCAGGCCCCACCTTTACCTAGACAGGTGTGCCAGGGTGCCACAGGTTCTGCTCCCTCTGCCTCTGAAAGGGCCTCTCAGCCCGTCTGAGATCTGGGACCCAGGACGGTGCTGTCTCATTGGCCTCCAAGAGAGGCCGGCCTGTGCCTCTCCCCTCTGGGATGCAGGTTCTCCCAGGGCTCTTACAGTGCTGGGTGAGTGAAGATGGACCTTGGGCCCTACAAGGTCCTTTTCCTGCCCATCCAGTGCATGGAGTAGGGGTGCAGGGACACAGACCATGGCCTCCATCAAGAGGAAATTGGGGGAAGTCCTGTAACAGCAGTGTGGGGGGTGCCCACCATCCAGACACAGGCCCTGCTCTCACCGCTGAAGTTGCTGGCATCCACGTCGGGCTGCAGCCCCGTGATCAGCGTGTAGATATCAGGGTTGTGGAACTTCAAGCTCTCCAGGAAGGCGATGGCGCCATTCTTTCCTCGGGTCTTCAGCAAGTCCAGCAGATGCCCTTGGGGAGAGACCATCACTTAGCTACCGGGGCTCAGGGCGGGAGGACTGGCTTCCTGCAAGGGAGGGCTGAGCGGGAGTGTCCTGGACAGTGAGTTCAGTGAGGAGGCAGTGAGGAGGTGGAGGTCCTGGGAGAGAGGAGCCCTCTCTGCTGGAGGCTCATGGAGTAGGTCCCTTGTGATGACTTGACCCCGCTCAGCTTAACAAGGCAAAGTCCACTTTTATGAACTCGCTGCTACAGCAACTCCAGAGCTCTGCCCAGGGTTAGGCATGCAGGGCGAGGTCACGCACAGACACATCTGGGGTTGTGCCCATAAATACCAAGGGGAGCCCCAGAGAGCCTTGAGGGCCCCCAAGCCCAGGCCCAAATCTCATATTTCTCAACTCAATTAATAGCTTGGATTCATCTACAAACCAAGAGGCATACACACCATAGCCTTAATAGCTACCACTAATTGCCTGATTTTATGGCTAGGCTTGGCAAAGAGTGTCTCCTCAATTGTGACTCGTAGTTCTCCTAATGATCTTCTATGGTAAAGCCATTAGCATGTCCAGTGGGACAAGTGAACACAGCCTGTCGGACCACCGGAGTGGGTTCCAAAGACATCTGTAGTGGGCTCCCAGATATGTCCACCTGAAATCTTTGTGTGTGAATTCCTTTGGGCACACGGTCTGCAAATGTAACTAAGTTAGAGATCTTGGGGTAAGACCATCCCATGAGAGCAGGTAAGCCCAAAATCCAGGGACAAGTTTCTCATAAGAGACCCAAGGAGACAAGACACAGAGGAAAGACCCCTGTGAAGGGGGAGGCAGAGCCTGGAGTGATGGGGCCACAAGCCAAGGGACACCTGGAGTCACAGAAGATGGAAGAGGCGGGCAGGGTCCTTCCCTGGAGCCTCCAGTGGGAGCACGACCTGTGGCACTGATGTCGGACTTCTGGCCCATGAGCAGACACATCATCCAGTGTGCGTCTGTGGGTGCTGCTGGTGCTGGGGTCGGACCTAGGGCCTCACTCACCTCAGGCATGTGCTCTGCCACTGAGCTACCCTCCACCCCGTTGCTGGTTAGTGTCGTTGTCGTTGTTTTGTTTTGGTACTAGGGATGGCTCTGAGCTACACCCCAAGTCTTTGGTACTGGGGATGGCT